AAAAAAAAAAAAAAAAAAAGAAAAAACCAAAATAAAAAAAAAAAAAAAAAAAAAAAAAAAAAAAAAAAAAGTTCTATTGTGTGTGGGGGGAAGACCCAAGACCCAATTCATGAATGGTTTTAATATGTGAGTGACCCACGCACTCCACCTGCTCAGCAGCCCCAATCTTTGGGTTCTCCGGGTCTCTCTTCCTCCTCCTCCTACTTTGTTTCCTCCTTCTCTTTCCTTTCATCTTTTCCTCTCTCCTCTTCCTCCACCTTTCTTCCTCCTCCTCCTTCTTCTTCCTTCTCTCCCTCCCCTTGCCTTCCTTCCTCTTCTACCTGCTTTCTTTTCTTCTTCTTCTTCTCTTTCTCCTCCTTCCCTCTCCCCTTTCTTCCCACTACCAAATGTTCACAGCAATGCTAGCTTATTTCGTCATTTTAAGTCCCCATTAATAAGGTGCAAAACAAGCTAAAGAAAATATCTTGGTGGGGGATCAAGCTTGGACTCCAATGAAGTACACACTGGGGGCTTAGCCATTTGGGCTCTCAGGGTGCAGGGGACACAGACACACTCAGGTCGGTGCCCCTCACCTCCTTGTGAGTGTTCCTGTGGGAAGAAAGACTTCTAATGCGGTTCCCTATACTTAGTTCAAATCATGAGCACAACCCCTCATTTAGCATGGGCAGCGCCAAGCGGCCCGCTGGACACACCCTCTGCTCTGAGTTCTACTGAGTGTTCAGCACCTGGTGAGCACCAGGGCCCTGAGACCAGGACTGTGAGCTTTCACTCATAGGATTATCAAGACTCTGGAACTGGCTGCTGAGGCCTTCTCTGTGTGTACTACACATGCACAGAGAAGCAAGTGGAGTACAGCGAATGGAGAGCTTAAGAGAACAACAATAGTCCTACCTGCAACACTGTGCCCCTGCCAGGTGGGCTCTGCGATACAGGGAGGAGAAAGACACAGCTCCTGTCTCCTGGAGAAGGCCAGTGTGTGAGCACGCTCTACATGTGACACTGGACAGCACGGCACAGGGCAGACGGGACACGAGAAGGGAGGGCCCAGCTCCACTGGGCATGAGGTCTAGAAAGGGGTGAAGGGTGTGGTGGGCAGAGGCATGCAAAGAAGTGTGAGAGAGCCTGTTGGTTGTTCCTGAGGTGCTGGGTGTATTTCAGTAGCCTTGAGCCCAGGCCAGTAGGAGCTATGAGAAATACAGAGCAGCAGTAGACGGGGACAGGTCATGGGCAGGGCTGGAGGACACCATGCCAGCCATGGGTTGGAAACCTCATCCTCTAGGCAGTGGGGAACCATGAGAGCTTTGGAGTGAAACAGCAACACAACTGGTAGGTTCACTGGGACTTGGGAGTGGAGGTTCCAGAGGGTAGGAGAGTGTTGGTTGGGAGAACTCACTCCATTCTCACAGCTGTGGCATGAGATGTGCATTCTTCCTCACTCTATGTGGAAGGCAAACTAATCTTGAGAGAGAAGAGAGTCACTCAGGTTAGTACCCCTCCGGTCCTTTCCTGAATCCAGGTTTAACGTTCTGACTTCAACGGTGATGCCTATGCAGCTATCTGAATACAGTGAGGATTTACACTTCAGACAGCAACAGAGGAGAACGTTCAGTAGCTCTGGGAGCACTAACTGCTGAAACCTCCCTCACTTTAGCTTTCAAAAAAAAAAAAAAAAACTGTTTTCATTTTCATTTACCTTGTCATCAAGGCACACTGCCATAGACCTAGTGATTATCTTGGGTCACACGGTGCCTCCTCTCCCACACTGGCGCATTCTCACAGCTATTCAAGGGTGCTGCTAGTGTTTGCAGTGGAAAAAACGAGGAAACTGAGGCTCAGAGAGAAACTCACGTAACTAACAGCAGAATACAGCTTCCCATCCAGCTTCCTTTTGGATGGGTGGAGTGGGGACCCAGAGCCCCTGTGCTCTGTCTGCCCCTTCCACTGCTTCGTTCACACACTGTTCCCTTTCCACCGCACCATGCCCCTGGCTTCCTGGACCTCCGTGCACATTCCCTGTCTCTGTTGTCTGGAGCAGTTGCTTAAAATTGAAAGCAAATGCCAGAGAGAAGAGCAATTGCAAACCTGCCACCCAGAAGCTGCCGCTTCGAACACAGAGGAAAGCTGCTGTTTGCAAAAGGGATGCAGCTGCCTAACAAATTGTGTGTGACAAGAAACTTGTTGTGTCAGTGCATTTCTACAGCAAGCCAAAATATATTGATGCACTCCATCTATATAAGCTGATGGCTTGAAATTTACTGCTGAACTCATCCTGCCGTACTCGGTGGATCCATCTTTATTTTGGTCAGAGATGCCTGTTAGAAACAGCTGGGAAGACCTGGGCCCCGTGAAATAAGTCATATATGCTGGTGACAGGATCCCGTGCACCCCCAGGAAAGGTACATCCCTGCCAAATTTCTGTACAAGCAGCACACATTCACAGCCTTGCACGAGGTGTTTCGTAGCATTATTAGCAATTACAAAACACCGGGAATATATAATTGTCCCTCAAAATGAAGAAGAATCAATTAAATGCAATATATGTCTTAGAATAAAGCATCCAGGTTTAAAAGAATGATGTAGGTGTCTTTACATATCAACATGGAGAGGCCTCAGAAATTCAGGGTTGATTGGCAGAAGCAAGTTGCAGAATAAAATGCACAATGTGGGGAAAACACACGAGCAATACTATATATAGATAGGGATTTTTTAATTAAAAAGAAAAGATTTGGAGCAAGTGTGCCCAAAGTTTAACAACGGACAATGAGGTTTGGGTACAAGGTGTGCGTTATTATTATTTTTTTTTTTTACTTCTCTATGCATGTTTACTTTTGCATATTAAAAACATACAAAGGATTTTGAATGACGGCAGCCAAGCCAGTTTGTCAAACTATCCTGATGTCTTGGTTTGTCTCTACATAATTTTAAAAGGGTGAAAGGATCGTTTTCCAAGGTCCCAATCCGACCCATCCTTTATGTGGCCCCATGCTATTCCCAAGAGTTAAAGATGCAGTTCAATGCTAGCCTTTCTTCTAGATTTGCATTTTGCAGTACTAATAAACCACGTGGCCTTATCCAGTGTAATTTACAAACACACTATTTATTTAGCAGATTACTTCATTATATTGCCACCTCCATAATGAAAATTGGGCACAAAAATGAGAGATCTGGTAGTTATAACTTTTTGCTGGGTTCTTTCTGTGGGTGATCATCTTGCCCATTAACAGGCTTTCAAATCTCAGAGAGAAAAATAATTGTGACTCTTAATAGTTGCTGTGTGTATTACTTCTCCACTCAGTCTCCACTGTGGCCAGGAGTTGGGCTGATCATTGCAAAAAACACAGTGCATCTGTTTTGAAGTCGAAATAGAAGGAGAGTACCCTGCAGAGCTGTCAAATACATACTCAGGAGAAGCCAAATCACAGACAATATTGTTTTGTCCAACCTGGGCAAATTAGTAGATAGGAGCTCATTCCAAAGTCCCCCCGCGGGAGTGCAGCATTCCGTCTCCAGCAACCACTTTACAGTATCCACCTGTGGTTTCCAGTAGAGTCTTTGACCTTTCGTTAAAGCTCCAACTTTACTAGGCCATTGATTTTTGCTGGTCTCTGGGGCAGTCGTGGAGATGGATTTCGCCATGGTTAATATCATCCTCCTTTTAGGACTTTTGCCAAGCGAGAACATATTGTTAATGACCTTGTCTGGAGTGACATCCTTTATATTTGAGATGGCAAAAATTCTGTGACACTCTCGCTAACGACTCAATCTGATATACAGAGATGAAGGAGGCCTTAGGGAGACTGCAGGGACTGCTGGAGTGGGTGCTGGTCCAGTGCCCTTCCACCCAGCATGGGCAATGGGCAGAGAACAAGCTCTGGAGTCAAACCTCAGCTCAGATCCCATCACACTGAGTACCACATGGTGACCTTGGGCAGGCCTCTGTCTCCCCGGGCCACTTCCCATCCCAACTATGCCCATTGTCTGTAGTTGCCTTCTGGCATGACGATAAGGATCAGACGTGGTGGCGTGGGGGAAACACAGAGCACAGGCACTTGGCAGATCATGCCTCTTCTTGAAAAGAAACACAAATTACAACATTGCAGTGTAGTCCACACAGGAGGAAGAAGCAAAGAATCAGCACACTCATCACATTACACGTGGGGAAACTGAGTAAATGACATGCTCACGCATTTGACTGTGACCTGCTGCAGCCCAAGGCAAGCAGCAATGCCTTAACTTCTAGACTTGTGTCAGCCCCTGTCTCTTGACTGCTCAGCAGATGCGACTATCTGCTGCCTCCACCCCGGCCAACTCACCTCCGTGGAGTCCCCGTGCCCTGGAGTGTCTGTTATGGTCCCATCTCTCCTGGACAACGGGGTGCTGATGCTCCTGAGGGATTGCGCATGCTCTGCTTTTCCTCGCCAGAATGGTCTCACCCTCCACCGCGGCTTTTCATCATGGGATCCGTATTTCTAGAACAGACCTCTCTTCGAAACTGGTTCCAAACTGAGTTCCAAACTGGTGTAGGAATGAGGTCCTGAGTGTATCCATGGGAATGTGCTATGAGCAGCTGGACCTCAGGCTGCCTCAGCCATCTTCCTCAACACAACTCCCCTCATCCCTGTGTTCCTGACCACTCGTGCGCTCACTGGAAGTTAGCAGTTCCCTAAACTCTTTCGGTTCTCTAACACACCTCTATCCCAGCCATTCTCCCTCCACCTAAGCATATCCCCTCTCTCCCACTGGCCCCTGTCTCTGGTCACTGCTCAGCGACACTCCTGCCCCAGCCTCCTACCTGCTACCCTGTGGACTGCTGCTCCTGACCCCTACCCAGCCTGCCCTGGTCCCCAAGAACAGCTCTTCTTCAAGGCCTACATGCTTCAAACCTGCCTGCTGCAGACAGTCCCACAGCGCTAGGCTGTGAGTCGTGTTTCTCTTCTCACGCTTGAAGATGAACTGTGCATTCCTCAGGCAGAACTGCATCTAATATTTCTGCGTATCCCCTGTAGCACAACACCCTGAATGCCATTTGTTCTCAGCAAGTATTTCACCGACTCTGAACACATAAAGGCACCTTAAAGGCCAGCCAGTCCAAAGTTCTCCTTTTCCAGAGGATGAAACCGAAGCCAGAGTTGGGGAGTGAATCACTGAGAATGATGTGTGTAGCTGCATTCCTGCACATCTCTAGCCCTTTAGACTTTGTAAAATATTGAACTGTACACTGTCATTTTTAATCCCAGAAATAGCCTTCTAAAGAAAGTCTGATGAACCCCATCATACAAGCTGAACAAATAACCAAGATCCTCCAATTACTATGAATGGTTTTCAATACTCCTTTGACCACAGCAAACCAAAATGTTGGGTACTTACTGGATGTTCAATAAATATTTGTTGGATGAATTGACCTGTACTAAGTCCATAAACTAATCACCTTACACGAGTGAGCAAGTACAGATGTACTGGGTGGATGGACAGACAATTGAAAGAGTATGGAATCTCCTTCTACTCCTTGACTCTCCTTTCATGATAACTTTTTAGAGGTGAAAAACCCATTTTCCTTGAGTCAAGGGCAGCCAACAGGAGCCTGGCTAAGAGCAGACAGGTGCGAAGTGTGGACGGTGCCCCTACGCCCATCGACTGTGAACTGTCCAGCTGGTCCTCCTGGACTGCATGTGACCCCTGCCAGAAGAAAAGGGTAAGAACCCAGGCCTGGAAGAGCTCCAGGCTTCCTGGAGTCCCGGTCCTTGGCAAGATGGGCTGGGGAGTTGCCCACAGTGCCCGGTGAACAATAGGCCCCAATGAATACTGGTTTCTTAGCTGAGGAATCCTTTTCCTCTGTTTGCAAGCGGCACTCACACCCTTCCCTTGGCCTTTCAGGGTTGTTGAGGGCATCTGTCCTTGCAGCTTCCTAGTAGACTTCCTGCCACCACCCTACTTTTTCCATCCATCCCTTACAGTGCAGCCGAGGCAACCTACCCCAACATTAAGTCTGACCTGTGTGTCCCTGGCTTGAAGCCATTCAAGGTCTAGCCCATCTTGACGACCAGGCCAGACTCTGCATCTTCAGAAAATGACCCCAAAGCAGCACCCAAGCACTGCTGCCCTTCCAGCCATTTCACTCTCCCTGTGCCTCCGTCCCTGCTGCTTCCTCAACCAGCAGTGCTCTCTTCCTTCACTGGCTACCTGCTATTCAAGATTTAAAATTCTTGGCCTGGGGATTTAGCTCAGTGGTTCTGCCGCCTGCCTTGCAAGCGCAAGGACCCAAGTTTGATCCCCAGTACCAAAAAAAGAAAAAGATTTAAAATTCTTCTCAAGGATCCCTCTTCAGAGAACCTTTCCTGATGTCCCTATGTCCTGGCATTACCACAACGGTGTTTATTAAACACGGAAATGTATATTCTGTGTCTTAAGCATGCAGGACTATTTCCAGCACATAAAATGTGCCTCATGACTATTGCTGTTTGAGCTCGTTCCATTTTCAGACTTCTCTGTAAAGAAGGGAGGAGGATTACTATTAAATATTCTGCTGGACAGATTGGTAACCAGAAACTCAGAGTAGGTGAGTGACTTCTCAGGGTCCCCCAGGAGCACGGGCAAGCCTTGAACTCAAGTCATTTGCTCCGTGTCTAGTGTTCTGCTGATAAAACCTCGCAGTTCCTCTATGTCTGTCCTTTGCCCCCACCCCCACCCCCATGTCAGGGCAGAGCTGACCCAGGATTCTGGCTCCCAGAGCTATGGCTGTGTGTAGGGAAGGAGAGTAGTTGCTGTTTCCCTGCTTCTCAGGAAGCCAGAGCTGTCAGGGCTCAGACTCTAAAGAGGATGTGGAAGTAGGCACAGGACAATTACACAGTTAATTGGATCAATGGGCAGAGCCAAGCAGAATCATTCAGCTCCCTGAGTCGGTGTTCTTGCTGAAGTTAGCAGCATTGATCTGATTATCTGGATAATTGCTTCATCGGCATCATAAACCAGCGAGTCTCAGCAAGAGCCAGCCGGCCTGAGTTCCTAGCTCCAGGGTTGCCGCTGTGACACCTCAGCCAGGCAGAGTCCTGTTGCAAGGTCACTGGCTGGGCTCCCAAGATGCCTCGCCAGACTGAGGATGCTGCTGCTCCGACATTCCACACTCTCCACACCCACTTTGCCTTGGGAGTCCGCATTAGTCTTCTGGCAGTGTGTGTGTGAGTGTGTGCATGTGTGTCTTATTTTATTTTTATTTCTAATTGTCATTTCATATTTGTACTTATTTCTGGAGTATAGCACTCTAACGTGATACATGTATATAATGAAAAGCAGAGTAATTAGCATGCCTGCCCCCTTAGATATGATCATTTCTATATGTTGATGCATTAGGAATCTACAAACTCTTCTCCCCCGGTTATCCTAAACTTTGTAAGTCATTGTTGCCTATACTTACGCCATTTGCGCTATAGAGGATTAGAGCCACTTCCCCATCTCCAACTGTGTTTGGCTGTCCATCTCCACCCCCTCTTTATCCCTCCACCTTCCTGACCCTTAGTAACCTCTATTTTTCTCTCTGTGTCTATATATTTGCTTCCACTTACAAGTGAGAACATGCAGTTTGTCTTTCTGTGTCTGTCTTATTTCACTTACCATGACGTCTTCCCCTTCTGTCCATGCTGCTATGAATGAAAGGATTTCATTATTTGCACTGTTGAATAATATCCCATCGTTATTTGCGCTACCTTTCGTTGTTTGTTTGTTTGTTTTCTTGGAGACACGGGTCTCGCTCTGTACTTAAGGCTGGCCTTGAGCTCACTATGTAACGGAGGCTGGCCTGGAGCTTGCAATGATCCTCTTGCATCAGCCTCTGAAGTGCTAGGATTACAAGCCTGTGCCACCACGCCCAGCAACACCATTTTTTTAATCCATTCACCTGCTGATGGACACTTTGGTTCATTTGGTATCTTTGCTGGGTGAATAGGGCTGTAATAAGCATGGTATGATGGAATCTCCTTAATGCAATGACTTCATTTCCTAGGCTGTATGTGCACTCAGTGTTGGGACTGCTGAATCACATGGTAGTTAGGCTTGCTGGTTCTCTGAGGAGCCTCTACCCAGTTTCCCACAGTGCACACTTCCCTGCATCAATGCCATTTGTCTGTCACCAGTAGAGAAATATCTACACAGATCATCTGCCCATTTTACAACCAGATTACTTGGCTTTTGGTTTTTATTTTTCTGTTGTTGTTTTGCTGTTTGAGTTCCTTATGTATTCAGATTATTCTCTTTTTTTTTTGAAATGAGTAATTTGCAAGTATTTGTCCCTTTTGTAGTTTGTCTCTAACACTATCCGTGGTTTCCTTTGTGGTGCAGAAGGTTCTTAGCTTGATATAATGCCCTTCATCTGCTTTTTGTTTGTTTCCTGCACTGTTGAGGTCTCCCCCTCCCCAATCTTTCTACACCAATGTCTCCAAGGGTCTGCCCCTAGTAGTTGTACAGTTTTGGGTCTTATGTCTATGTCTTTGGTTCATTACGGGGTCTGATTTCATTTCCTCCTTCTGATGTGCATACCCAGTTTTCCCAGTACCATTTGTTAAAGAGTTTGTCCTTTCTCCAATGCATGCTCTTGGTACTTTGGTCGAAAGTTGATTGACTGTAACTATGCAGACCAATTTCTGGATTTTCTATTCTGTTCCTTTGGTTTATGTGTGGGTGTTTATGCCAACCCTGTACTGTTTTGATTACTACAATTTTGTAGTATGCTTTAGATGGGTTAGAAAGCCAAATACTATAATGCCTCTGGCTTTGTTCTTTTTGATTGTTCTTGTTGTTGTTTTCCCAGTATAAACTGAACCTAGGACCTGGTGCATGCTAACCAAATATTCTACCACTAAGCTATGTCTCTGGCACATGTTTAGTTTTATTTTCTCTGTAAGTCTTCCAGGCTGGACTGGAGCTTGCAATACTCCTGCCCTATCCTGCTGAGTAGCTGGGGTTATAGGCATAGGCCACTTCGCTCAGTTTAGTTTTGTTCTTTTTGCTTTGGATTGCTGTGCTGATTCTGAGTCTTCTGTGGTTCTGTATGAATTCTATGCTTGTGTTTTTCTAGTTCTGTGAAGAATGCTTTTGGCATTTTGATGGGGATTACATAGAATCTATAAATGGCTTTGGGTAATATGGCCATTTTCACAATATTAATTCTTTTTTTCACAATATTAATTCTTATTATTCATATCATTATGAATGAACACAGAGTGTTTTGCATACTCTTGTAATTTTAATTTTTCTGTGTCCTTTAATGATTTTTATTATGGAGATTTTTTTTTACTGACTTGGCTTTTATTTCTAGGCATTTTATTGTGGATATTATGAATTTGTTCTTTAAATTTCCTTTCAGCTTGTTTATTACTGATTTTTGTACAAAGTGCTACTGATTCTTTTGTATGGTGACTTTGTATCCTATAACCTCACTGAATTTTTTCCTATCCATTTCCCCAGATTTTTGGTAGTCCTTAGGGTTTTTTTTTACATGTAAGACTGTGTTGTCTGCCATCAGAGGTAGTTTGGTTTCCTCCCAGTTTGGATGCCTCTTAGCTCTCTTTTGCCTAATTGCTCTGGCTAAGACTTCCAGCGGCATGTTGAATTGGATTAGTGAATATGGATATTCTGTTCTGTTCTGGATATGAAAAGAAACATTCACAGCTTTTCCCAGTATAGCATGACGTTGTCTGTAGGTTTGCCATCAGTGTCCTTTATTGTATTGAGGGCTTTACAACCTAATTTGCAGAGGTTTTTGCAGCTCCTAGCCCTGTCCTGACTCTGCCTTCCAAGAAGAATGACCCTTTGGAAGTACAAAGCATGGGCGGATGGTTACCTAGGCTTTTCAGGACCACAAGTACGGTGCCATCTAAGTGATCACTGCGCTTTGTTAGTGCATCATTGTGCAGAGGTTCTGCTGTCCTTTGTGCACCAAAGTGTTGGCTGCAACTCAGATTTGTAAACTTCCCAAATTTGTAAACTTCCTTCCCAGTGCCCCTGCTTCCATCTCCCCGACTCTCCATCCCGCACTCTTCTCTGTAGCCACAATGAGCTTCCTTTTGATCGTCTGCCCCTCAGCTTCGGCCCAGCCAACTCCTCCACTGGGCTGCTCTTCTCTGCTATCCTCACGCCACGTGCCACATCTGCCTCCTATTCCTGTTCAGCTTCTGGGCTTTGCGTTCCAGCCTAGACCTCACTCCTTCTGGAAGCCTCTCTTGACCACCTCTGTCTGCACTGCAAACCCCACCCGAGCTCACAGAGCACTCTGCAATGTCCTTGCCATGTGCCATCACACTGTGTGGCTACCGCCCGGTGCCCCCACCAGCGGCACCACCACCTAAGACGGAATAGAGGACAGGATTGTGCTTTGAAACCCAGCCACGAGCAGGCAAGCACAAATCACACCTGCCTTCTTCGACATGTGGTGGTACAATCAAGATTTTTTGGAATCAATAAGAAGGTAGAAATACAGTAATATTCACTACTAAAATTCATTCGTAGAAAAGAAAAATAACTACAAGAGAATGAGTGTCTACTGTGTACCAGACAAATGTAATGAGATTGAGATTGCATGTGTGTAATTTAATTTTAGATTTAGACAATTCATTGCCTCTAGTATACAGAGGCTAAATTAAGATTCACAAAGGTTGCATCACTTTCTCGGCATCACATGACTAGAAAGTACCAGTCAGTTGTGACTTCAAAGCACAGGCTTGTTCATATCTAATACACTGACTCCTCAAGCAAATAAAAATACACAAATCAACCCATCAGAGTCATGAAGCTAAGAGGTAGTTTGTTTTTGCTATTAAACCGGCTACGTAAGTAACTGAATTTCAAAGCACCAGCCCTTGACAGATCACTGCAGATGAAAGACAAGGTCTCTGCCCTCAAGTGAGGGGGAAAATGTCAGACAAACAAGTCAATCCCAGTAAGGCAGACCCTTGGGTGTACATAGTCGGGGAGCAGCAGGTTGGAAGAGCAGCCACCAGACCTGTCTGTGCTCCCCCTCCCGAGCCCTCCCCTGCGTAGCACCTGTGTGCATACGGGCCTCAGCGGCTGGGGTGGCTGCAGCCCCACACCTGGCTCATCCTGGTCCTCTCCGCTGCAGTATAGACATGCGTACTTGCTCAAGCCCTCTCAGTTCCATGGGGAACCGTGCACCTTCCCCGACAAGGATGTGGAAGACTGTGCTGCCAGCAGACCATGCAGAAATCAAGTGCGATGTGAAGGCTTCCTGTGTGCACAGACAGGTAAGCAGGCACAGAAGTCAGGGTGGAGGTTCTTGCTGGAGACGAAGGGGAAGGTGAGGGAGGGATGAGCCATGAGTGGTGCTCATCAGGGTCATAGAGCAGGTCAGAGTCTCCTGCAGTTTCTGACCTCCTTTCCCATGTGCTGGTTCATGAAAAGTTCCTACAGTATAGGAACATTCTGATCCCCTTTTTACCACCTGAGGAATTGAGACTCAGAGAGGTTACTTATCCAGGGTCACATAGCAGGCATCCGGAAGAACTGCACTTAGAAATTTCGGCACTCTGTTGACATGCATTGATATCAAAAGTATATGTTCTAGAATCACAACTCCTGAGTCATGGCTTATTTTGACGTTGGGATCTAGGTGAACGCACCTAACTTTCTGCATTTCGACTCTCTTGATTTTCCATCAAGGGTGATGTTAGCATGTGACAAGCCTGGCTGATAGGAGATTCCGGTGCTCTTAGCTCTTTGTGCATTGTGAGCTCTGCTCCACTCTCTCGCTGCCTCCCTCTCTCAGAGCCCTAGGCTTCTCCATTCTGTTTAACTAGGTGATCTGATCACTTATCTCTGAAAAGTCTCTGGAGAGATAGTCCCTGTCATGTGCATCTCTGCATCACCAAATCCAGAGTAAATCCCTAATGCGTGACACAGTTAGTAAACTTACTGTTTACTGGAGTGGGTGAAAATAATAAGGACAGATTGACAAAAGGAAGGGACGAGCACACAAAGGAAGAATTGTCCGCTGTGGGACTCAGCAAACAGCTGTCTTTCCAACTTATCCATTTAGCTAATCCAAGTAAGTATGTACTTCCCCATTTCTCCAAGTCTCTGGTCAGAAATAAGGGTACTTGGACTAAATTATCTCAATGGGAGTTGCAACTCTTTACATTCACTCTTTCCATGTGGATTTGCTTCAAGATCTTTCAAAAAGAGATAAGGATTCATAGAGCATTTTCTAGGCCTACCGCAAATGCAAACTTCCATCCAATAAATCTGGGAGACTTTTTTACAGTGTACCCATGGACTCATAATGGCCAGTGTTCCATGATTTGGGCCAGAGCCGCAATGGATATTCGTGCAGGCTCTAGTTTAAATGCCTTGCAAGAAGAATTTGAAGACCGGGTCATTATTTTTCTGCTGTTAACATCCCCAGAACAGTGGTTTACCATGAACAATACATCTAGGGAGATGGGGCCACTTATTCTATGGGCTTTATCCTCCAATAGTTTACAAACAAGAAAGAAAGTCAAGTCAGTGGGAAAAAAAAGTTTAGGGGAGGCAAAAGTGATGTGAATAATTTTTCACAGTCCAAACAGCCGTGGTCCTGAAGGCTGTGTGATTAGACAGTTACAGTTTCTGATCTTATCTGGCTGGCTGCAAATGTTTGCTAGCAATGTGCACTTGGCCCACAAAAGCGATAATAGCAAAGCCCTTACTATGAGTCGGTACTATTTCATGCACTCATTCACATTCACCATGACGTAGGAGATGGGTGTGAGGGCTTCCCCGTTCTCTACAGGAAGAAATGGAGGCAGGCAGGTTTGGTGACTCATACAAGGGGGCTCAGCCAGTGCTGCTAACTGGATCCCCTAAACCCAGCTCTTTGAGGCCTCGGGAAGAGAAGCTCCTATGGCCTCTGTCTTGACATTTACTCTTTGCTTATAGGCCCTTTCCTTTGCTTCCCTTTCCTCTTCTTCAATGGTTCCAAATAGTCTCCCTCCTATGCTTTTAGGAAAAAAACCCTGGCTTCTTTTGGAGAGACACAGCAAGGGAGGAATAAACCATTAGCGCTACTGTCAATCTGCCCTGATATGCAAGAAGTAATCAAACCAACACGAGAGGCTAATGATGCATCTAGCACCTAGCAGTGCTTCTGCTGTGATAGTTTCTCTCTCAAGAGCCTCCTGACCAAGCAGCCCTCTTTCTCCACCCCAGGGAGGTGCATAAACCGCAGATTTCTTTGCAATGGGGACAATGACTGTGGAGACCAGTCGGATGAGGCAAACTGTAAAAGAATTTATAAAAAATGCCAGAATGAAATGGAGCAATACTGGGCAATTGACCGTCTGGCCAGTGGGTAAGCTGCTGTGTTTTGCCGTGTGGATGGAAAGGCACCAGATGAAGTGGCATTCTGGAGAACAGAGCAGGAGCAAGCTGGTCTGTTCCTTTTGACAAAAAAAGGGCTGTGGTGTAAGTGGGTGCCCCTCGCTGCCCTCTAAGGACAGTTGTGCATGACTCCAAAAGCGCGTCCCATACAGACCTGGGCCACCACAGGTGGTCTGGCTGTGGACGCTGGGACAGAGCTGTGCAAGGAAACTGTGGAGGCTGCTCTGAGGTCCGGGATGAATCTTTATCCCTGCCTGGTGATGTGACACCAGGTTGTCCGGAAGCACTTCCCCTGCAGGCCTGTTGGCAACTTGCACTTATGCTGTATCTGTTTCTGCATCCCTAGGGAGAGCAGAGGATGCTAAGTGCTTAGGGGAGGGTGGGCTTCCCAGGTGTGTCTGTCTTCCAAGTCTTGTTTCCATCTGCTGGGATCTCTGAGTTGATGGGGACAGAGGAGCAAGATTAGGAGGGGCCAGACTGGCTTGACGTCCACCCTGCTCTCAGGCTACTTTCTGCAGCTTCTCAGCCTGCAGGTGGAGAAGCAAGACCCTCCCCTCACAAGCATTAAAAGTCATCATTGTTGCAAAATGGGCAGGGTACTGCAAACCTGTAATCCCAGCACTCTGGGAGACTGAGGCAAGAGAATCACATGTTTGAGCTCAGCCTGGGCAACTTAGCCACTTAGAGAGAGACCCTGTCTCAAAATGAGAAGTAAAAAAGGGCTGGGGATGTAGCTCAGTGGGAAGGCCTTGGATACAGTCTCTGTACTGTGAAAAAAAATCATCATCATCATTAAGTAAAACAGCATGGGAAGGAGAAGAACAGTGACACTGATTGGAATTCACCCCCCCTCTAACCAAAGAGCAGATCTCAGAGAGAGATTCTTTACCCAGAGCCAGAAGAGCTTTCTCAGAACCACCTTATAAGGTAGTTATCATGATCCCTGCCTCCTGGGTAGGGAAACTGAGGCCCTGAATATCTAAGTGAGCTCAGGGGTCACACAGCCAGAGAACAGCAGCAGCCACACCCATAGCCATAGGCAGGATACGAATAGGCAGTGGAGAGGCACCCACCCTAGAAGGAGCAGAGCAGGCTGGAGGAAAACAGAGGACTAGGGCATAGAGTGTATGGGTGAGTCGGGAGTGGGCCACAGTGAAGCTGGGAAGCCGGCTGGAGCCAGATGCCAAGGGCCCTGTGCCTGGAGACACAAGGGTTCCGCTTGGGTTCAGCAGGGGCTACAGCCCGGAATCGTGACCATTTCATCATCGCTGTGCCCTCCCTACAGGATAAATTTGTTCACCAACACTTTGGAAGGCCCTGTTCTAGATCACAGGTACTATGCTGGTGGATGCTCTGCCCACTACATCCAGAACACGAGGTTCAGGAAGCCATACAATGTGGAGAGCTACACCGCACAGGTAAGGGACAGCGGGAGCCACTGTGGGGCGGGGGGGGAATATTAGATGGGGACCTGCAGCCTCCTACGGAGTGACTCTGGGCACATCACACTCTCCTCCTGTGTCCCACGGGTCGTCCTTTCCTGTAGACCTTGGACTGAGGAGGACGTGCTCTCAGCAGTGACAGTGGTAGGCACTGTAGTAGCAGGAATGCCACCAACAATGACATCACCGGCCACCCTGAAGACAGAAGCACAGCGTGGGGTTTGGAGTCCCACAAGTCTGGGAGCTATCCCCTTGCTATCTGTCCAATTTCAAATTTCTCTCAGCTGCTGCTTCTCCATCCTTAGGCTGGGAGTCGTAATGGTTCTACCTGCAGGGAGATTCGATCATTAGAGTGCTCAGCACAGCTCCTGGTTTAAAAGTGAGTCCCCCTCCATTTGAGCTAACCCTTCTTGTTGCCATCACTGCCAAGCACCTGCCTATCAAACCAGCCATAGTTGTAAGTGTTTCAAGCTATAAAGCGAGGCACCAATGTAACCTGTGCTGTGAGTTACACACAAATTTAGGAGCACATCTCACAGAGTGGGATTGAGCAGAGATTGTGTTACTGTGACACACACACATTTGCCACCGGGTGAGGGTCCCTCCTCTATTTTAGGCTAAGTTCCTTTCCCAATCCAGGCCTCCGTTTCCTTATCTGTGAGTGAGGCGGCTGGACTAGACAAGCCTGATGACAATTTCCGTTCACAAAGTGCCCAGTTCTCCAGGTTGGGTTGCTACCCTCCTCCTCCGTCCCTTCTTCCTGCCCACTAAGCCCCAATACTCATTAGCCAATAAAAGCGAAAGAGTAGCCTTGGATGATGCACGTCTTCCAGCAGGCACCTAGTTCACCTCCACAGCCTTGGACCTCAGAGCAACCGCACCTAGTCTAGGCTAGAGCAGATCCTACCCCAGGCTCAGCCTCCTCTCCTCATAGACAGCGGTCCTTGAGTACCGCCCCAGTCACTGTGTGGGTCTTTACTGCATAAGCTCAGTCCTCAGAGCAGGCCTCATAGGAGGGATGATGGCCAGGTCTGTCTCACATATGGAGAAGCTGAGGCTGAGTAGCAGTCCAAAATCAGCCACTTTGAAAAGGGCAGTGAGACAGTACCTCTCAGACCTCACCTGCATGGCTGATGCTCCCATCCTCAGCCTTATGCCTTCCTGCAGGACTTCCGGGCATCTGGAAGCCCATGGGAGTGGGTGGAGTTAACTCTAGTCTGGTCACTTGAGGCTCATACAGCTCTCCTAAATTCTCTCAGATGCAACTTTCTGCTTTGCCACCGCATCCCCCCACTGCTGCCTTTGACCAGATCCCCCTCACCCATCACCCACAGTACTTGCACTACCTGTCATTGGCTCATCTGTCTCTGAACTCACCCCTGCCAATCCAGCCCTCGTGCAGTTGCAGAATGACCTTCCTGGGCCCAGGTACTTCCTCCATTGGGGTACCATTGCATAAGCCCACACATCAGCACATAATCCACAGCCTCGGCAGTCTCCCACAACCCTGCTATATGCCTCTCACTCTTGCATCTTCTGATTCTATCACAAAAGCACTGTTGTGCCTCCCAGAACACATCCTGCTCTTTCCGACCTCCATGGCTATATGGAAGCCAAGCCCAAAATATCCCTAGCATTTCCACTGCCCTGATTCTTCTGTGTCCAGAGCACTGAGTCCAGCTCCAGCACACAGTAAGAATACAGGGGATGCCCGCTCAATTGATCTGAGTCAAAGGAAATAAAAAACATTTTCTCTTCTTTTCCTTCAGACTCAAGGCAAATATGAATTCACACTCACAGAATATGAGTCGTATGCAGATTTTGAACGCAATGTCACAGAGAAAACAACTAGCAAAGCTAGCTTCAGCTTTGGTTTTAAAATACCTAAAGTATTTGAACTTGGAGTCAATGAGGAAACTGATCAAGGCAAGCATTATATTAGCAGAATCAAACGATTCTCTCATACTGTAAGTAAGCTTTTATTGCTTTTATGTTTGTGTGTATTCTTTTGAAATTTCACACCCACCGATGTCCATACTCCACGTGACTCCCAGCATAGATAATCATATCACTTCTGTTATCTTGAAAATCTTTTCATTAAAAAGTAGCCTGGCTTTAGATTACCTTACTTTTTACAGCAACCAAGCAAAGATGGTCTTCCATAATCATTTATGCTGTTTTTTAATAAGCACTTTCCTCTGGTTTTCAGTAAGTTGAAGGTGTCAGAACAAAACATCTCTGGATATTTTTCATCTCAGTACCATTTATTTGACTTCTGTCCCCAACACCTGTCTGGGAGGTCACCCATGACCTCTTTGACTTCTCAGGGCATGTGATGAGTTGCACAATTGTTCTTCCCTTTCTCCTGCTTTGTTTCTGCTCCCTAACCAATTTCCTTCTTGAGTCAATGTCTATGCTAGTCTTTATTTAATTTGTGGCCGTCATCTTTCCTACTTACTCCACCATCTCCCCGGTGACTCTCTGACTTGCCTGTCCCCTTGAGGGTCCAGCCATGAGCCATCAGTGCTGGTTCTACCCTTTTTGTTGATCTCCAAACCTGTACCATTCGTCCTTTGGAGCACCTCACCAGAAGGCCTTGCCCACTCACTGAAAAGGCTTTCTCCTGAATTTGCAGTCTGTGTCGATGGCATTTCTCCCTTCTGTTTTCCAGGCTGTAGAATCATATTTGGCTCTCATTTCATTTTGGTCACTCAGTTCTTCAATATTAGTCTTCAGTTGTTTGCCCCAACTCCTACTTCATCTCAGGCATCTCTTGTTCTGCCCAACCAGCTTCCCCGTCTCCCCACTTGCCTTTTGTGTATGTGAGCTGCTAGAGAGGTGTTTCTGTGACACCTTTCTAAGCACGCCACCACTCCTGTTACACAAACAGTGAAGGACAAATGACCTGGCAGAAGAGGAGAAACTGCACTGGGAAGCTGTGGTGTTGGGAAGATTGAGGAACCCTGGATTCCAGGGGACGGTGGTGCATTTCATTCTCTGGCCTTTGAGAGTGTTCAACACAGGAGTGACGTAATAGAAATAGCCAGGGAGGCATAGGAAGAGATGAAGACTGGAAGCCTACGATGGTCCGTAGGAGAAAAATGAACGTCTTCTAGGCTGTGAAGTCCTTGGAGGGCCGCGGCTATTTTCGTTATCTTTAAACAAGAAAGGCCCTTCATAGATGCTCAGGACTGAGCTCATGGGAGGATGTGATGGAATGAAAGGAGTATCCCTTGTGAGGAGGGAGGACAGTGGGTGTCATGCATTTGCTCTCTCACCTCCTCCTCTTCTTCTTTCCCTTCCTCCTCGCACGCCTGGTTCTCATCCATGCTAACAGAGTGCTGGGCGCTGCACCAGAGACTCCAGACCTGAAGACACATATCGTGAGATTCTTTTTGCCCAGCACAACTTTCATTATTTTAAGAATTGTTCATATTTATGTAATACAGTGTAATGATTGGACACATGTATACAAGGTATAATGATCAAGTTGAAGCGATTAGCATGTCCATCTCCTGAAACGTGTATCACTTCTTCGTGTTGGGTAACCTCAAATTACTCTCTCCAGCTCTTTATGAAATCTATACTAAGTTGTTCTTTTCTTCATGTTCACAGTCTTGTAGGAGAAGTAAGCACATGAGTGGATTTGCCATTCTTATTTTTTAATGTCAGTTGTAGCACAGCATGGTGTAGGCTACAAAGAAAGCCTGAGCCAGGTGTGGTGGTGCACGCCTGTAATCCCAGCACTCGGGAGGCTGAGGCAGGAGGATCGCTGTGAGTTCAAGACAGCCTGGGCTACATAGTGAGTTCCAGGTCAGTCTCAACTACATAGTGAGACCCTGTCTCAAAAAAAAGAAAATCCAAGCAAAGGAAAGTTTGGTCTTAGAAAAGGAGTGCGTGTCTGGGGACGTATCCCAGAGGAGTCAGGGGCTAAGTAGGGATTTGGAAGGTAAGTAGAGTGTGAGCCTGGCTAAAAGGGAAGGAAGAACATTTCAGGCAGAAGGAGGGCCCTGTGGACAGTGATACCATGAAAGGAAAGGCAGGTGTGGGGAGCACTGGAAAGCTGCTTGAACAGGGATATGCAGTGTGGCTGGGGAGAATGGCAGGACCTGGGAAGGGAAGAGTCAACACTGTAGGAGCTGGAGCCAGTGAGGCTGCTGGGGATGGAGACTGTGCAGGGCGCATATTCAAAGTAAGGGAGTTGTTTTATTCTGAAAGCAATAGTGGAGCAGCACAGGGTTTGAAGTCTGCGGAGACATCATCATAATATTATCAGTGTCAGGATGTCAACTGGGGCTCAAACAGGCTTGAGAAAGGAAGGAGATCAGTTAGGGCAGCTCGTCTAAAGATACGTCAGCCTAAATTACATCCATGAGAGATTTTTCCAAAGATAACAATGCTTACTGCGAATCACCAGGCACAGTGATACGAGTGTACCCTCCATTTGGAAGACAATTTTCCATGGGCTTGCAGATGGAGGGAGTAATTTAGGGGTAATTCAAAGCAGCGCACAGCTTAGATCCCTGGGATGTGCAGTTCACAGTAGGGCTGTGAGAATCTAATGCTACTGCTGACCTGAGAGGAGGTGGAGGAGCTCAGGCAGGAAATTCCAGCTATGGGAATGGCTGTAAAAACCACGGAAGCTTCTTTACATCGGTCTTACGTCTTATGGTGCAGTCTGGTTCTTAATAGGCCATGAGCTGGTACCAATCTGTGGCCCAAGAGTGAAGAATCCCTGGTCCAAAAGATTGGAAAAGTCATTCAGAGTCCCTAGATGGACAGGGTAGGACAGAAGGAAGAGTCATGAGCTTCTGGGCTGGGCTGGAATGGTGGAAGAGCAAGCAGGAAGCAAAGTGGGGGCCTAGAAGAAGCCTGCAAATGGTTGTATAGAGCTGACAGGTTTAGAATTGGAGCAGAATCTACCTCATAGACATTTCTGCCTTCTCCTTTTCCTCTCCCTGCACCCCAGTGTAGGCCCTCTCTCGAGTTGTAACACCTGCTAAAGTATTTCATCAGGTATTGCTTACTTTCAGTTTACCCCATACCTCAGGGAGACATTAAACCTTGGTTATAAAAGACCAGATAGTAAATATTTTAGACTTTACAGGGTCACAGGGTCTCTGCTGCAGCTCCTCCACCCCGCCATTACAGTGTGACATTAGCAATTCACAATTGCAGACAATATAGAAATGGAGGAGCATTGCTGTGTTCTAATAAAACTTTATTTACAAGACCAAGACGGTGCACTGGATTTGCTGTGCAGGCTGCAGTTTCCTGATCCTGCCACACAGTACCACGTTGAACCATCCTGTAGGACCACTGCTAGTCTTTCTTGAGTAGCTTTTCTTCACAGAATTTAAAAAACACAAGAAAACGGGTTGGGATTGCAGGCTATTGAAGCTGACTTCTGTCGGAGCAGCCACTGTGCTTCTGGGCCACCTCTGGCCTATCCTGCCTGTTGCTGTCTGCCCTGCAGAACACTTGCTGTACTACGAAGGGGAATTCAAGCGAGCTCTTCTAAGCTGAAAAGGACATTGTAATACTTACAGGAATTGAAAGCTTGTCAAAGAGACCATCTTCCTGTAAATATCCTAAAGGAATCATAAGAGTGATGACCCTGGGCCACACACATTGGATGATATTTGTAAAGTTCATCTTCTCGTTCCAGATTCCTAACTTTAAAGGTCTGGTTTTCCCACGTTGGTATTTCATTTAGAAAAGCAAGTTTCTGCATGCACGCTCTGACCTTGATGTGGCACATTACAAGCTGAAGCCCAGAAGCCATATGCTTCACCATGAATTCCTCCAGAGAGTCAGGCAGCTGCCCTTGGAATACAGCTACGGGGAGTACAGAGATCTCTTGCGGGACTTTGGCACCCACTACATCACAGAGGCTGTGCTCGGGGGTGTTTATGAGTACACACTTGTGATGAACCAAGAGGCCATAAAGCGAGCAGGTAACTGCCCAAGGGACACGCTTTCCTGATCGGGTGAGTCTCATCCTGCTATTAGAGGGAAACTTTCAAGTTGTGCTCCTGGTTTTCCTTCTGCCTACCTGGCTGTACTTTCTCAGGTGTATTTGCAGAGTCCTCCTCATCCTCTTCCTCCTCCTCCTCCTCCTCCTTCTCTTTTTAACTGTCAATCTTAGTGCTCCCAGACTTGCTCTCTGACTGGGCTGTTTTCTCTTACTATCTCTGTCCAGTCCCACCCTGTGCCAGGCCATTAAGTGCTGTCAACAAGCAGGCAGCTCCTAAATTATCCTTCCTAGATTGCTTCCAAAAGTTTATGTTTTTAAAATATCTCCTTCATAACTCCACAGCAAGGTCAAACTACCACAAGCCTAGCATACCACACAAAGAGAACTTCTGGTTTTCTTTTCCAAGTATGGTTCTTCCATGTCATCCACATCTCAGAAGTAGTTTGACCATCCAAATAGTGGCTCAAGCCAAAAACCTAAGACTCTAATCTTATTTTTCTTTCCTTCCAATATATTAGCAAGTTTTGTCCACTTTACTTACAAATTATATGTTCTGTTTTTAGTGTCACCACCAAATAATCATCCCATGACACTCAAAATTTAATGTGAATCTGAGTTAGAGTAGAGGTAGGTTCTGATTGGCTGGGTTTGTGAAGAGCCTCAAAATGCTGCATTTCTAACAAGCTTGCTTTTGATGCTGGTGCTGCTTATCCACAGACTATACTTTCTGGAACAAGGTCCCAGATTATCACCATAGCCTTCAGACTAATATACAACCCATAGGCCTTAGAATGCATCTTCCATGCAGATATCCCAGGACCTTCCAACTATCATCAATGCCAGTCTTGAGTGCGAGTCCTGCTTTCCAGACCAGTATTCTGCCCTACTACCCAGCACTTTTCAGGCTATGTGAATTGCTGTAGGTCACACAGTTTACAGGGGCAGAGCCAGGGCTCTCACAGACCCCGTACTCTTACAAGAAAGAGGACATGGTATGTAATGTAAATTTGTGTCAGTGTGACCTTGGTCTTGTCATGATCAGGGGTATCTTTCTCTGTAACAAGGATTTGAAAAGTGCTCCCTGTGGGCGATCAAGGAATTCAGGAGGGTTACAGCTGCACTACCCTTGCTGGACAGATTTGCAAAGAGACCTATAAAGGAGACATACTTTTAGAGGATGACTGAGTACATCCCCTTCATGAAGGCAGCAAGCATTCTGGGAGGAGGCTAACACAGGAAACAGTGCTATCTCCATGCGGCCCTTACTCTGGTGCCCCATAGCTACCTGCACTTCTTGTCAGCAGGCTGGTACCCATTTATTACAACCCAAGTCCCTGGGACAGCCAGGAAGAGTTAGGCCCCTAGAGTCAAACATAGGAAAGGGGACAGAGTGAATTACCATGGAGGTCACTGACCTCTTTTCTCGCTTCCTTCAGATTATTCCCTTAATGACATCCACAACTGTGCCAAATATGATTTCCGAGTTGGTGCTGACATCCGAGGAGTCTATGTCAAACTGGGTGTGTCAGAAGACAAATGTAGGAACATCCTGAATGAAATAAAAGGTACGAGATAGGGCTATGTGCCCTCTGTGCTTGTACTTTCTCCATTTGTGATGCTTCTGGTCCCTGCCTTCCTTTTAGCTAAGCACTGGACATATCAGGGCATTTCAATTAAAATAATAACCCAGATGGTAAAAATCCACCAAGCCACTACTGTGTGCTGAGTATACAAAAATGAATCTGTTGATTTCCTATCCTCACTGTGCCCACATGAAATAGGTAAGCAATGGAGGAGGTAACAACAAGGCCCTGTCCAGCTGGAACCTCAGGGAGGACCTCCTGGAGGAGAAATTATGGGAATTACAACCTGAGGATTAAAATGTCAGAGTCATTTACAGGCAGGAAAACAACCTAACAATATCATTGTGCTTGGGGACTGAGTTGGCCTGGCTAGAAGTGAGGTGTTGGGGCATAAGGCAAGAGGAAGAAGGTAGGCTCCCTGAAGGGGGGGTGTTGAAGAGATGAGGGAACACGAAAAGTCACAGGTCAGGTAGCAAAGTCGGAAAGGCGAAAAAGTCCAGACCTGAGGTGGGGATTGAACCAGGAGAGCTACTGAGTAAGGTGTCTGGGAGCACAGAGATTGGAGGCAACAGAGGGAGTCAGGAGTCAACTGAACAGGCAGAGTGGGAAGGAGGCTGATCAGCAGCGCCTTGGTCCTGAGCTCTCTGCACCCCATGGAGCTCTGTGTTTACCTGCTCTACCTGGTGGGCTGGTGCCTGAGTTTACCTGTGAAGAGTTCCACAGCTGAAACAAAACACAGTAACACAACCACCACAGAAATTAACTGCTTGCTATGGCTTGTATCTAGATGTCACTCTAAGCCTCACTCAGTCATTGGTGGGGCTTTAGGAAGTGGCTGGATCGAGAGTGTTTGACGCTGGGATCAAGGATGTGATGCTGTAATTGATTCCTGGTTCAAGGATAGGATTAAGGCTGCCCCACTCACACTGGGTGTGAATGCTACCCCCCGAAAGGTGGCAGGTAGCCTGGTTTGACTATGAGGGACAGAAAGAGGGCTGCTGGGGTCACTTGTCACTTGCTGATTGCTGTTTTTGCTGCCTTCTGCCAACCATGAACTGTTTCTCCTTGGCAATGCCCTTCTACTGTGCCACCCTGCCTTGGAGTCAGCCAGCTATTAACTGAAACCCCTCCAAACTGTGAGCTAAATAAACCTTTCCTCTTAAAACTTTGAGTGTCAGGTATTTTGTCTCAGCAATGAGAAAAGTAAGGTGCTGCTATCCTGTAGCAGCCTCTTGCACTTGAGGCTGACTTGTCCATATTGACTGTTTGCTCACTGCAGTGAGCTGAGTGCATAGAATAGGTCCTCTTTGAAGAAGATTCATAAAGTAACTCCCCTTCCAGCTCATTAAATGGAATACAGCTCAATAACCTTCATCCATTGCTGATCACACCACATCCTCTCCTTTTCTGAGATAACCTATAACCACCCCTGCTTCTGTGTGAAATATGTCCCTTTCTTTTTAGCATTTTATAACTTAGGTGTGTCACTTACCAATGTGCCTTTCTGTTGCTTTCTTTTTTCACTTTGTGTGGATAGAATGCAATATTTTTTCTAGTCCCACATTTTTCATCTCACATCATGTTTTTGCATATAACCACAGTTAGTTCATTTCCATTGCTACGTAATCTCTTACTGCATGAGTACACCATCTTTTCTTTGCTCACCTATTGATGGTCACTGGGGACATTTCCTCTCTCAAGTATTTATAATCAATTCTCTGAACATCTTACATCATCAAATTAGAATGGGAATGGCTCACTGATGTGACTGGGGGCTTTTGGGACAACTCCATGGGAAGGTAAGCTAATAATCACTCTGTAGGAATCAGTACCCAGTAAGCATGTATTACACATGCAACTCATTCTCCACAAGGTGTACTACACACAGCAGGGATCTAGCTTAGGGCCTGGGTGGGACTGCCTTCACCACTCTTGGTTTTCTTATCTGTAAAGTGAAGGTTATCTTGTTCTTACTGGACATTGAAAATCAAATGCATTCCTGCATATACAGCATGTAGACCAATGACTGATATAAGTGATCAATAATCACTAATTGTTATGGTTCCACTTATTCTTTACCTGGATGCAGAGGGTCCACCGTATGAATGGAGGGAAAAGAAATTCCACACTGTAGTAGTGATTTGTCTGAGACACAAAGTACACACAGCCAGAACTGAGATGCAGGCTTGGGTGAGTGGGCCGGGCCATGGGCGGGGGGACTCATTTTCCCTCAGATGAGCTCCACCATCTCTACCACCGGGGACCGGTGTGACCAAGAAGCAAATGCTGTCAAACTGGGCAGGCTTTGTTTACAATGTGGCTGTTTCAGTTGCTGGCTGTACAGGCCCAGACAAGTGACTTAATCATTCCAGGTGTGAGTTTCATCATTTGTCAAGTAGTGTTAATACTACTCCACTCATGTGACTGCTGTCAGATGAAACAAAATAGTACAGCCGGACTATCTACCAGCCTACCTACCTGCCTACCTACTTACCAATGTGTTACCTGTCTTCTGTCAAATCTACCAATCTTATCTATCATCCATCTGTTTAATGATCCATTATGTACTTACACCCTATCCCATACACTAAGTCCATGACTGACACTTGTACAAGCTCACAACAAGTGCCCCTTCTTGCTGGGCAGCATTTGTGACCAGTTGAGCTTTCCTTTTGCTCCATGCCCCTTGGCTCCCTTGTAGGCAGAAACACTTCTTGTTCTCCAATGACTGCCAGGCCACCTCAATGAATCTCCTGGCACCCAAATTGTTGAGCTGCAGAAAAGTCCAAGGTGTGAAAAGGGATCCTCCAGCTCTTTCATGCCCCTTTCAGACAGGAACAAGAGGAGCACCATGGTGGAGGACTTTGTGGCCCTTGTGCGGGGAGGGGCGAATGAGCACATCACCACCTTGGTCTATAAGGAGCTGCCAACGGCTGACCTGATGCAGGAGTGGGGAGACGCAGTGTGGTACAACCCGGCCATCGTCAAAGTAAAGGTACCAGAGCAGCACCACCCACCCTCCATGCTGAGGGCCCACAGTGAGCCAGGATGTGGAGCTCAGATCCATGAGACACAGCCCTAATATTAAGGCATATTCATTATATAGAAGAAAATATCCCCGGAATGAACAGATTAGAACCTGTGGCTCAGTCCCACCCAGAGACCCATCTCCTTCCCACTTGGGTCCCCAAATTGTTGGAGAAAATCAGCTTCTGATTCTAGCCACTTTGGCTTTATATTCTGGCTCTTTTATCAGAGAATCACTCACTCACTCATTTGTTTAAATGCTCGTGCATTCAACCATCAAATAGTCACTAAGTTCCTGTATGTTACATGAAGTAAGGCAGAATGGAATAAAGCAGAATGGTGAGTTGCATACAGGCGTGACTCTCTGAAAGAAGACGTCACTTCATCATGATGATGACTTAACATGTTTGGAGCACCTCCTGTACGCAGGGCTGTGGGAATGTTATCACATCTCCACCTCTCAGTGGTCTGCAAGTTCAGTTTCTTTGCCTCCTTTCGTTACTGATACAAATCAAGGGTCAGAGAGGTTGCCTCTCTCTGTGGCTGCTCGAATGTCTGTTAGGTCCAGACAAGAGATGTGGACTTCTTCCCTCCCCTCTAAATATCCAGTGGGCTCGGTGAGTAAAAATAATGATCCCGACCACCTGTCACAAAAAAGAGAGGAGACTTGCAATCTTAAGCTAAAAAGACATTTGTTGGAAGAGCACTGTCATACGTATCAGCGAGATAGTGTCCTTGCCTGTGGGGACTTCAGCACAGCTCCCTGAGCCTGTCTTACACCATACTCTTCTAGCAGGTGTCTGAACAGTCACTGATGGGTCATCATCTGTCCCCCAAGAGTCCCCTTTTCAGTCAAAGGGGGGACCTGAGAGGCTGGAACCCTGACGAGTCTCTGTAGTTTCCGAACCTGGATGTTTCCCAGTCTCTTTATTTATGTGTCCAATGTAAAGTTTCTGCAGAACAAGAAAGCAGCCGTTCAATGCCTCTCCTCTGCACTGCCTCAGCAGTGACACCCAGGGCACAGTTGCTATGATTGCAGGAGGGACAGAGTCAGTTGTGTGATGTGGGCAGCCCCAGAGAAATCTGGGCTGGACCAATGTCCTGGTGATATTCGTTGGCTGACATCACAATGGGGTGGGAGAAAGACCAGAAAGTTCAGGGAAAATAGCTTCCTGGATTTACTTTTTCCTGAACTCTCCCCTGTATGTTTTTTTAAAGCTGAGCTCTAAGGGAAAGCCCAGGTTATTCAGTAAGGTCAGGGTACCTGCCTGGGCACTGGGAATGTCAAATGCCAAGCATGAGATGTCATCCAAGGCGACTCAGAGAATCAGCAGTGTTTTCTGGAGTACTGTGGGGGTTGGAAAGCAAGAATGTTGAAGCTGCTGTGCCCTTTGGCACCTCCCCAGCCTGTGGACCTGTGTTGAAAACATACATTCGGGTGGTGTCCCTTCTTCTACACACTCTCTCTGGAAAGAGAAAACTGCACAAGGCTTCCCATTATCTCAGAATAATTCTCGGCACAGCCAGCTTACCAGGGGAGCTGGAGTGACAATTAATTTTCTAGCCCACTAGATAAGCAATTCCTAGATACAAGAGTGTTGGCTAATGCTTGAGCACATTAACAAGCCTCTGAAATTGAGATCTGAGACACGATTTCTATGGTCACCAAATAGGCAGGGAAAGAGACCACCAAAGAACCCAGAATGAAAGAGGTAGCTCTTGGTTCCAAGAAGAGTTAAGAAATAGCAAGGAACATATACAGAGGGTTTTTTGTTAAAACACAAAAGATTGAAATTATGTTCAAGATGCAGAAAGTGAGCACATGTCTATAAGGTAGGAAAATAAAAATAAATTTTAGAATGCATTTTCTTTGTGATCGTAACATATTCAAGAAAATGAGGAACTTATAAAATAAAAATAGCTGAGATCTTTAGACACTAATCTGATGAAAGGGAAGTGGCTAAATATGTGAAACCAAAGGCACAGTACCAGAATTAAAACCCACATTGGAAACTATAAAGAACAGAATTGACACCGCAGAAAATTGAGTCAGTGATGTGGAAGGTGCTATAAAAAATGTTCTTATAATACAGAAACAAAAGACAAAGAGATTAAAACAATGACAGAAAAGAAATATGATGGATAGAGTACAGAAGTGGGAATCTAAAACACAAAGACTTCCTCCTGAGAAAAAGACAAGATTAAATGTGAAGACACATTAATCAAGGGTATAATAGGAGAGGCTTCTGTGAGCAGATAATGTAAAATGAACAGCTCATTGAAAACTCGGCAAAAGTACTGAAAACAAAACAAAACAAAACAATACTGAAACACATCGTGGTGAAATGTTTTGCTTTCAGAACAAATATATCCAACAGGAATAAAAGTTAAACTGGTCTTAGAAGTCTGCATCATGAAATGCCTGAACATAAAAGAGCAGCAACTGTTAGCTCTAAAGGGAAGAGCTGGCTACGGGGTTAGATGGTCGTTAATGGGTGACGAATGTCAGAGGCATTTAGAGATTATGAAGGAGTCACAAAGAGTGTCACCAGCCAGGTGTGGTGGTGCACACCTGTAATCCCAGCACTCAGGAGGCTCAGACAGGAGGATCGCTGTGAGTTTGAGACCAGCCTGGGCTATATAGTGAGTTCCAGGTCAGTCTCAACTACATAGTGAGACCCTGTCCCAAAAAAAACAAAAAAAAAAAAAACAAAACAAAGTGTCACTAGGTTTAGCAAATATCTAGTTAAATTTGAATTTCAGATAAAAAACAAAACACAAGAAAGTGTCACCAGTTTTAGCAAATATCTAGTTAAATTTGAATTTCAGATAAACAGGGATTAATTTTAGTGTAAGCAACTTGTAAATATTGCATGGGACATGCTTACTCTAAAGCAGTATTTGATGTTTATTGGATATTCCAGTGTAATTGAGTGTCTTATATCTAACTGGTGGCCTGAGGCACAATGTCTCTCTTCTGCGTGCATTTCTGTGTGTAGTCAAGGTAGCTTGACTGATGCAGAGAGTGGTCAGGGCACGGGCATTGCCCAGGATAGAAGAAAAAACATGGTGATGAATGGTCCCACACAGAGATCAGCATGCTGAGCTCCCATACAGAGAAATAACCCTCAAACCTCAGTTACACAAGATGTACAGTGAGGGTCCATGTGTTTATGTGGGATTCCAATGGGGGACTTTATCTTGGCATTTGCTCCTGGGATCACCTCACCTTGAACTGAAAGCTTCCAAGAGAAGTGACCCTCTCCTGCTCACTTTTCACTGGCCAAAACAAGGCACACGGCACACATGCCTTTAAGGAGGGAGCCCTTTCATGAGCAACCTTGCCTCTAGGGAGCTGTAGCCCTACTATGTGCAGACCCGCACTTGAGGAATCTCAGTCCCACTATGTGCAAGTCTATCGCTGAGGAGCTGCAGCGCTACTAGGTGCAGACTTACCTCTGAAGAATTGTAGTCGTGCTGTGTATCAACTTGCCTCTGCAGAATTATAGCTTTTTGTGAAAGCTAGGCACTCAAAGATTTTCTAAAATCAAATACTCCCCATCCAAGAGAAGATTCAAAATATAATGTAGCATTTGCCTAGTAAAGAGTGTCAGAGTTAGGCTGACAGATTTCACTTCCAAAAATAAATTCTGAATTTCAAAGAAGGACACTATCAGTGTAAGGAAATGGTAGGTAACACACCAAAAGGAGATTTTGCCCAAAAGGTAGTCCCTAACATATGATGACCATTTATTAGGAAGAAACACTTCAAAGGAAATAGACAAGCTTCAGTTGGTTAATGTGCATGCAAAAATTTTAACCTCTCTAGCAATAAAAAATTTAAAGAATTAAAGTAGCAGCACCATGCAATTGTTCACTTGTCTTTTGACAGCGAATGAAATCTACACTGCTCAGTGGCATGGAGAGTGAGGAAACAGACACCTTTATAAAGTGGGGTAAGAACATGATGCAGTGCAACTCTTTAGGGAAAGAATGTCAGTGTATATCTCCAAAGTATTTTCAAATACCTCATTTTTAAAATTCAATAACACCAAATGCAAGAGTCTGCTAGAGAACTAATCTGAAAACTTGGTAAAGGTGTATGCATAAAGACATTTGGGAAAAGAAAAAAAGGAAACATCATAAAGGCTCGAGGGCAGAAGAGCTGAGTCCACTGTGGCGCCCCCAAACAGCAGGCTACTCTGAGGTCAGAGAGAGCCATTTCCTCAAAATGTACTGAATCCTAGGGCAAAACACTCATGATGAGTGCAGAGAGTGTGTTATAAGGTCGTACAGATGCACTGATCTGTGCAAATATCTGTCCATCCGCCGATCTAAAACCACATCCTGAAAGGAAAGAGATCCAACAGGAACAGCCCAGAACCTTTTCTGCCACTCACGGATGTGTAAACTTCATCAGACTTCCTAAGCTCCCTGCCCCTCAGCCTTTTCAACCGAGCAATGTGGAAACATGACTGCCCACCTCCCAAGGCTATAGTGAAGGTGAGATGATGGGTGTGAGCTGGGAAGTGCAGCACCCCACAAATGCTAGCTATGGTGACAGTTGTTTCTCATCACTAGGAGCACCATGTCCCGCTGTGGAAAACTGCATGGCCATTAATAGAGATTGCCCAACAGCGCCTTGAGGAATGTGATAAGCATAACCTTCAAAGGAGCTGGGCTGCTAGGGACCCAGAGACCCTCATATTTAGCATTGAGCATTTGTGGGGGAAGGTACAGAGGAAAGAGGAAGAGGCTAGGAGAGAAAAAAGAAAAAAGAAAGGAAGAAAAGAGGGGGAAACGCTAGAAAAAAGGGAATAGCAAACCAAAAAATGCCTGTGCCATATTAGCTCAGGTTAAAAGGGAAGCTATGGGGTCCAGTAGAATGGGTGCTAAGTTCCAAGAGAAACCACCACCATCAGCAAAACTAGGACGTCTCTGGGATCAAGACTGGCCATGGGAACCGTCACACCATTTATCAATACAGCAGTCATCATCGTGAACCAGTAGGAAAACACTGGCCTTGGATTAAAATCTTGGCAGTACTGTTTTATGAGCTGTGTGACCTTGGTCAAGTTACTTCTGCTCTCCAGAAAACAAGGGCCAATAATTGCTACCTTGTGAGTGGAGAGTCTATCCTATTAGAAAGCCCCATGCAGCTCCCGGAGTATGCTTTATGTGGAGGGTTTATTCCGGCGGCTATTGGCGCCTGTCTCCTGGAAGGCCAAGGTGGTTAAGGGCTGCATGTCAAGGTGCTGAGGAGCACAAGGAGCTGCTGGAAGAACTCTGCACTGGAGTAAAGGGAGCTGCCCCTCCGCGGTGGCAGCCCCTCCCCGTGTGTGGCCAGTGGGCTGGACAGTTCTGCAAACAGACCTTGGATCAATTCATTGACCACAAGCCGGTGAGACAATGGGACCACCAAGGGGCTTGCTTTGCCCACTGGTGCGAAGGTCAGCTTCAGATGCATTAAGAAATGGAAGCAATTTTCTTCCCACTGGAGGCTTCTATTAGACATGATTGCCTGCATTTAGAGGGACCCTAAACCCTCCAGGGCTGGATTGGGGCAGGATCGTAACCAAAATCTGGAGAGGAACCCGGCCCTGGAGCCGACGCTGGAGCCAGCCCAGAGAGGCAGCCCACGTTTAATGACCTCTCTGGGCCTCGTCTTTGGGCACCACGGCACCACATCCCTGTCACACAGGGCTGCCTCCATGGAGGGGTGGGCAACTGCACTTCACACTCCTCTGTTTTGACAGCCATGGCCCTATTCCTGCCACTGGCATTGCCTTCAGAGGCCTCCACCTCCTGGCATTTGTCCACAGTGTTTAATGGAGGGAAAGTGCTGGGGAGCTTTGGTGGTCAGGAAAGGGTTCCTGACAGTGGCTTTTGCGGGACAGGAACGATTCTGAAAGGTGTGGAGGAGAGTGGTGTTGGGACAGTAATCCTAAAGTACATTTAAAGAGCTGCTGGACACCAGCCCCTTCCCTCACCACCACCGCCAACCCCTTCCCTCTCACCTGCTCCCTTCCACCAGCTTGAAAGTTTGGCTGTGGCCCCTGTGCGTCTCCTTGGCATACTGTGGGATTGTGTCCAGATAAACCCATTGCAAGTTGAAGATGCATCTGGTACAGCTAACTTGAGGCCCATCCTAGCCCAGAATTGGGGAGCGTCCAGTGCTCCTGGTGTTGGTGACCAGCTAGGAGCTGCGTTCACTCAAGTCCGGTTACTGTTGCACGAGAGCATTGCATGAGAGAATCGTGCCGCTGAACACTAGTCCAGGAAACGGTCAAAATGCTACTGAATGATGTTCACTTTGTGTACCTTCACAGAGTGGGAAAAAACCTAAGCCAAATATGGTCTGATCACCTATCAAGTGTTTTGTCTCTGAGTATTCTGAGTTTTTCAAGAGTAGGGGTTTTAGCTGGTATCCAACTTTAATGCTTAGCACTTAGTACTTGTTTGGTGCTTGTTGAGCTGAACTAGAATGAGCTGATTTGTGCTTATTGGGTGGGGGAGCATGGCATCCTCCTGTTCCCAAGGAATTACCTCTGGTTTCTACGCCCTGAACCCCTAACCACGGTGTGGCCCGGCTTCCGCCCTCATTTCATGAATGTTTTCTCTCAAACTCAGCGCTCTTCCTGTCTCACCAGGTGGAGCCTCTTTATGAACTGGTGACAGCCACAGATTTTGCCTCCTCCAGCACAGTGAGACAGCACATGAAGCAGGCCCTGGAGGAGTTCCAGAGCGAAGTCAGCTCCTGCCACTGTGCCCCCTGCCATGGGAACGGAGTCCCTGTCCTGAAAGGTACCATTACCAGGCTGCTGGTCCCTGTGAAAGCTGTTCGCTGGAGGAGGCTGATTGCTTCCCAAGAAGGCTGGATGGAGGCAGCTAGGGGATGTTCTCTGGCTGTCAGGATGCCTGAGTTCCAGCCTCAGGAGCTCAGTGGGTGACAGCAGCAGTTAGTTGAGGTCTGAATCCACCCGAGAGCTTGTGGTGGCCATGGATTCAGGGAGCCTGACCAATTGGAAGGCAGCAACAAGCATCAGCCAATAGAATTTGAGTGCTGACTTCAAGGCTCAGGTGTGGAGTCACTGCAGAAGGCAGGGCAGATTGAGAGGGGTGGCAGATGGGGATCTCTTGCTCCTGCTGTATGGACCAGCAAGGCACTGAGGTAGGTCCAGCCCAGCACCCCAGGACATCAGAGTCCTCTGATTATAGACAGTTGCAGCCCATGTGGACGTAGCAATCCAGCAAAGAAGTCAGCAAAGACCTGTTCTCAGGGAGAAAGATTCTCAGCAAAGTGCTGAGGAATTCACTTCTAGTTTCTCATGCAGGATGGATATGAGCAAAACAAACACGGTAGAGGGTAGAGATAAGGCCTAGAATTTGCCATCAGCCCAGGGCCCCTATTTGAGGGTCAGTGCTGCAGAAGTGGGGTCACCTTCTTAGCTCATGGTTTGGGCCCAGGGTGGGTGAAGTCCCCTTTGCCTTGTGTGAGAATCCGGACCTAGGAAGCTGGAGCCCACCTGCAGCTGTAAATGGAGATGCAGGAGAACACGAAGCCAGGGTCTGACCAATGAAGGCCAACTCTGTAAAGAGATTCTGTGTGATCAGATGACAGGACTCCAGGGTGACAAGTTACCTATTAACATAGGAATCACTTCCAAACTCTTAGAACTGGCCAAAATTAAGGCTGAAGAGTAGTGCATTCCCCAACCCTAAGGTCCCCACGCAGAGGCATGACAATGAGCTACAGAGCTGGACATCATGATGATTGGCTTCAGTGGAGCTGCCATAGCTTCTGACCCTGAAAGCTTATAAATAGGGGCTGAATGTCAGCTACTAAGTAATTTTCCTCAACAAGTCCTTGTGTTTCCCCATGATGGAAATAAACACCCTGTAATGAGCAAAGGGCCCTCACTAAAAGAGTAGTTATTTTGGGCACTAAACCTACTCTGCAAACCTTTCAGTTCAGTGTTTTACCCTGAGGTCACCTAATAGAATCACCCTCATGGGGCGTGCGGCTGAGCCACAGGGCTTTTGATTCATGTGGTGACGTTCACAATCTCTCTCGGTCTTTTAGGATCTCGCTGTGACTGCATCTGCCCCCTTGGTTTCCAAGGCCCAGCCTGTGAGGTCACCAACCGAAAAAGTAAGGATCCTTATGAGGGTTGTTCAAAAATGGGAACTCTGGGGACATCCAGAGAATAAGTTAAAAAAAAAAAAAGACAAGGTGGGGGTGCTGGATAGAGTAGGGGGCTGGACACCAGGAAGCAGGTGATCCATCCTGGCTTCTGCTGTTGTGTTGAATTATTTCACACCCAAGACTCCCTCTTGTCACAGGACTGCCAGTGCATGGTAGTTCCGAGTCCTTTTCGGGTCCTTCTGGAATACTTAAACTCTTTCTACTTAGTTAGCACATATTCAGCCCTCAAAATCCAGCACTGATGACCTCTGTTAAAATCCCTTTAAACCCTCAAGTGGAGTTGATTCATTTCTCCTGTAGGTGCCCATGGACCTTGAAATATATTTATCATGGTTCTCAGCACAGTGCATTTGTTGGGGTGGGGAGAAGCCCATGTCCTCTGCCGCTGTGAGCAGGGATCAAGTCCCATTGGTCTCTGTCCCCGTTCAGTGATATGCATGGAATTAATAAATGAAAAGCTACACTAAAGTTCCCTTCCAGCTCCAAAATTCTTTGGCCAGTTTATTATCTAAGAGCTCTCAATGTCTTCTTCCTTTCTCCCTTTTATTCTGCTCTGTGACATTTTGATGATCCTCTTAAAAATAGACATAGAACATTCAATAAAACACATTTATTGGACACTTCCTTTTTTTCTTTGGTACCAGGAATCAAGCTCAGGGCTTCGCACTTGCTGGGCAGGCTCTGTACCGCTGAGATACAGCCCTGGCCAGTTGCACACTTTTTTATACATAGGTAGTTGCTGAGTACGCAGACTCAACTTGGGTTTGAATTTCATCTCGGGTATTTGATAACTGTGATCTTGAGCGAGATGTTTATCCCTTTGTGCCTTTATTTCTGCATTTGTGAAGTGGAGCAGATCAATTAACTACCTTATGGAGTTGGCTTGAGTTTATAAAGAGGCATAGGAAGCAGAGGTCCCCAACCTTTTTGGCACCAGTGGACCAATTTTATGGAAGACAGTTCTTCTGCAGGCAGGGGGAGGGGTGGCAGTTTGGGGACTAGGTTCTCAGAAGAGGTGAACAGCCTAGATCCCTCGCTTGTGCAATGCACAGTAGGACTCATACTGCTATGAGAATCTAATGCCTCTGCTGATGCTACAGGAGGCAGGGCTCAGGCAGTACAGCCAGTGGTAGGGACTGGTGAAGCTAGACACATGATCTATCATGATTGAAGTAATCGATTATTCACATCAACATTCAGAACATTCTCAAGTAGGGGTGAGGGGTACAGTTCGATGGCAGAGCCCTTGCCTTGTGTATGCAGCCCCTGGATCTGAATCTCAGCACTACACAAGAGTCCTCAAGTGGAAAGCAAAATGTCAAGGAGTAGAGAGAGCACTGGTGCCCACCATCACCACATTTAAAACACATCATTTTTCGTTTGAATATATCATCCATAGATTAAATTAATTAATTCTCAAAAACACCCGTTATTAGGGGCCGGGGATTTAGCTCAGTGCTTCCACCACTTGCCTCATAAGCGCATGGTCCTGATAGTATGGTTCCCATTTTATAGATAAAGAGAAAAAAACTACTCAGTATCCCCTTGCTGGCCATTCACCCATTCATTTAACAGATGCTTGCTGAGGGCCTTCTCTGTGCCCGTCTGGGTACCGAGGCTCACTGGTGACAAATCCCACCCAGTCCCTATCGTCACAGGGACTGCACTATGCAAGGGAAAAGCAATGTCACTGGAGTCATCCTGTCAGTGCATTTAAAGTTTCAGGTATAACAACTGCTACAAAAAGAGCTTAAAACTGAGCTTAAAATATGAGAACCCAGTGGAGAGTTAGGGGTCATGGATGGTTTCCCTGAGGAAATGTGCTTTTGCTGAGATCTGAAGGGAGAATACAATGGATCTGGTGAGCAGAGGGGGGCAGAATATCCCTGGCAAGGACAGCAGCATGGTCACAGGCCCTGTGGGAAGAGAGAACACAATCATAAAGAAAAACGTTTGATTAGAGAGGTGAGGTCAGTGATTCAGACTCCCGAAGCCCTCGGCCTTACCCATCCTGCCCTACCCTTACAGGACCAGATTGTAACGATGGTTAAGTAATGCGTGGTGAACTCTTTTCCTGTAGATGTCCCCGTCGATGGGAACTGGAATTGCTGGTCCACCTGGTCATCATGCTCCGGAGGACTAAAAACAAGACAAAGACAGTGCAACAACCCAGCTCCGCACAATGGGGGCAGCCCCTGCTCCGGCCCCACATCAGAAATGGCCAACTGTTAGGGGAGGGAGCAGATGACACCAATGAGCTGCAGAAAGTGGGGGGCCTGGGGACCCCTGGGCCTCTGCCCATACCACCCCACTCCAGCTCCCACTGTGGCCCACTCAAGATAGAGCGAGGACAGCGCCATTCGGGCCTGGAAGGTAGAGATGCTAGTTTGTAAAATGCACGATTACTTAAATCAATAGAGTTAAAAGCACTGGCATTCCCAAAGAGGACCTTATAAAACTCATATCTCCCACACTATACTTTCATTTCACTCTCATTTATTACTGGAGGAGTTCTATGCTGCTGGTAGTCCCATCCTCTAGCAGTGATGACTGGCATACAGTAGGTGCCTAACAAGGAACTGACAAACGGATATGAAGTTGTTCTTTCCTTGATGAGTACAGGTTCAGGTTCAGCAATTATGGCAGCTCGAGTTTCTTGCATACCACGATGTGCCAGCCACCACTTCACAGTCTCAGTGCGTTCACAGCCATCTCCCAAGACAGGTACTCTTCCTTATTAGCCCTACTGAAGAGTCAGGGGAACGGAGGCTTAAAAAAGTTCAGACACTCGTCCAAGGCTACACAGAAGGTGGGCAAGCTGGGCTGCACCCCGGGGCTCTAGAAGTGTAAACTTGGAGCTTTGATGGTCTCCTGCCTCTCAGTGCATCAGCATCTGGTTAATAAAGGATTTTTCACAAAATAAAAAGCAGAAGAAAGCACTGTGTGTGCACTTGTGCATGCATGTGCGTGTGCTGAGAGCCTCCACTGCTGCTGCCAGAGGAAGGTGGGGCTCAGCTCCCCAGCTGCTGGCAGAGGCCAGGTGGAGCGGTGCATATGATTGACCCTGTGTAGGCTGGAGGTCAGGTGTTAATATGAAACAATCGGTAAGAAGATTTCGTATCGCTTTGCTCAGCCATGACCTCCAGTGAGCTAAAGGAATAGCAGGGCTGGGAGCCAGGGCAGGTCCTGAGCTGGATCCCAGAGTCGGGGCAAGTTAAGGAAATAAAGGGAAGGCTGAGGCTGCTGCAACAGAAACACATTGAGGAGCGCTGGATGGAAGTACGGTGGGCGCATGGTGCCCTCCCTTCCCCTGTCCATGAGCTGATCTGTGCTTTCCACTCTGCTCACTTCGTGCAAACACTATTTGGGGAGGAGAGTGCTTGAATAAGACAACTGATCTGAAGGTTACCAAACACCAAAATAAGCTTGCTTTTTAGATTGGCAAATGAGTATCTAAGCTCTCTTTCTCTCATTCATTCCATCCATTAAAAATGCCCTTAAGCTTTTCTTTGCTCTTAGACACTTCCTGTTGGATTGAAAAACTTTAGGTGAATTTACTAGAAAGGGATGGGGAGGTGCAGCTAGTTAAGGGTGAATTGGGCTCGTCCTCCTTCTCTGCCACCAATTCCCTGTCAGCCAGATCAGGCGCTTTGGATTGGCTACCAGATTTGTCTGCTGGGTCTGAGACCTCAGCACATACACGGCACAGCACGGAAGCTTGGTCCCTGCCACCCACTGGTGTGGCCTGAACAGCTCTCTGGAATGAAATTAACAGAACAAGGAGCTGCTGGGGGGTAGTAACGGCAAGTGAGGTGATTCTGTCTGCCTTCCTGCCTCCCTGAGTCCCCTGAATAGAGCTGACAGGTCTGGGCCCTTGTTTGGTTTAATATTATTGCTTTGCTGTCTGCTGTTCTTTCAACGGGCTAATCCAATAATGTTTTATCTCTTTCATTATACGGAGGCTGTATAATTTTCTTGAGTTATAATCTATCTTCTTTTAAGATTCCCCAGAGACAGGGAAGAGCAGCTCTGTCTTGGTTGACGCGAGGCCCGCTCGAAGCCGACACTAGCACAGCGAAGCAAGGGCCGCCAAATTAAATTCCGAAATCTCAATCACAGCCACCGCTTCTAATGGGAAATTTGAGTTGATTATGGAGATGACAGCCCAGGTCCACATTTATTGCATTTAGCAGAAATTGTTTATCCTATTAAATATGGTCTTGAAGGAGAGACAATTGAATTGCAGAGCACCGGTGAATACCCGGGTGACGCCCAGGCGCTGCTAAACTGGGTAATAATTATATTCTTATTTGCAGGCTGAACTTCCCCGCGTGGCTCTTTTTACCAACAAATGCATTTAGGCGGAGGCTGAAACGTAATGTAGGAATTAAGCAAAATAAATGCAAACTGTGCTTTTGGAGAATATTGGCAATGGCGTACCTGGAAAGCAGCCGAGGTATCTGAGGGCGGGGGTGGAAGCGTAGACACGAAACAGGACGCTGCAGTGTGGGGGAGTTTGGAGCTCTGAGTCCCTGGGCATGCGCTTCTGCAAAGCTGTGAGCCTCTCCGCATGCTTCCTGTCAGGGCGGGGGGGGGGGTCCCAAGTGACCTTGGGCTGATAACCTCTGTGAGGATAACAACTATTATAATTACGTTTAAAATAGAAATAATAATAATAGCTGCCAATTCTAAACTGCTTCCATGTTTATGAAGTCCTTTAGCTTATGTCTGGCAGAAAATCCAGATGGAAGGAAGGGCCCGCTCCAGCAGTGTAGTAGGCTCCAGCCTGCTCCAGGCCCTTAGACACAAACCTCGGAGAGGGAGTGCCTGGGGCAGGAGCCCATAAGAGGCGGAGCTCTATTCCCTGGGCCTCCCTGCTCAGCTCTGGCCCCACCTGTGCCCTGCTTCTCATGATAAAGGTTCAGGCCTAGCGAGGCAAAGTTGAGAGGTGGTGGAGTCCTTATCTTTGTCTCTTCCTCTCTTTCTTGCCTCCCCAGCTGGCAAGAGATGAGCAGCTCTGCTCCCCCACCCACTCCCTGCAGGCCATGATGCGCTGCCTCACTACGGTCCTCAAGCCATGGGGCCAAGCGGTCATGTGCTGAGGCCTCTGAAACTGTGAGCCAAGATAACCTTTTCCTCTTTTTAGCTAGACTGCCTTGGGTATTTTGCTGCAGTCATGGAAACGAATACCTTTTCTTTCCCTTCCCATTTCGCCCTGTAGCTTTGTCATCACAGCGTGCATGCCTGTGCAGTGTTCCTGGAGGAATGCAGCCTGGAGACGTCCTCAGTGACATCCTGCCTGTTCACCCATGTTTCTGGTCACTGCAGACACTGCGTTATAACTTATTAGCTCTCGCTCCTTCTCAAATACAGTGCTCACGCAGGCAGAGACAGTGCGCTAACATTTCCCCAGGGCAGGTTCAGTGCCTGGCCCTAGGTGACCACTGGTGGGTAATTGTGGCAGGAATGAAGGAACTAATAGAGAGGGACGGTGGGGCCGAGGGAAGAGGCTTCATGGGCTGGTGAGAAACTGCAGTGACTCGGTGGCACATGGAGGTGGCACTGTGCCCCTTGAATGCACTGCAGCCCCAAAGACGGAAGCAGCCTACGCGGCAGGGAAGGGGAAGGTGCCTCCCTTGGCTTGTGGGCTGCAGTGCCAAAGAGGAGTGGAATAGAAGACAGCAAGTACACTGGACATCGGGAAGGGACTGATGGTGCCTGCTTCAGGGCTGGCGTGGTGACACCCTGGGAGCAGCTGGAAATCCCCAGGGAAGCTACACAAGAGAAGGGAGCCGGAAATGCTGTCCCTGTGGGTCGGGTCAACCTGACAAGCATCTTCAGAGACTGATGAGGAAAGCCAGGCCCAAGAAATTGTACACAGCCTACAGGATCCGTGGCAGAGACGGGAAAGGGCAACTTAAAAAATTCCTTCTTGCAGTATTCCGCCTCAATCCCCATTTCTCTTCCCTGGATTGGTTTGGAAGCTGGACTCTAACAGCGACATGTGGAGTGGGGCTTGGCAGGTCTTGGTGGATCCCTGTTTATTGACTGTCTTCATGGTATCTTAGTTTCCTACGCAGCGGTTTTCTTTTTGTGTTACTTTGCCCCGTGTTGGGCCAGGTTCAGACTGGGAGGCACTGAGACACTCCCAGGCCTGCAAAGCAGGTGGTAGAGAAGATGTCGCAATTTCTTAGTCCCAGGTGGAGGCAGCCTGAAGGAGGGCTGGCAGCAAGGAGCTGTGCATGTGTGCTGTGGACTCGGGCCTGTCTCTGGGACTTACAGCTTTGTGGCTATCAGCAAGCCAAGCTGCATACTGTACCTGCTCATCCTTACCTGTAGACGGGCATGATGGAGGCTTGCTGAGTGCCACGTAGATCCTTGTGTGTAGGAGAATACCCTGGGCCCGGCAGCCCTCTTTAATTAACTGTGTCATTGCCGCTGTGATTTTCTGGGACTCTCACAATCTCAACAAGAAGCTCAGGTTGTTGGGTTTTTCGTTTTTGTTTTTTTTTTTTTTAAGTCTTTTAAAACTGCTTTAAATATTTCAGTGCAAAACGTACTACAACACATGAGAACAAAAAGCCATAAAATGGCTCAGCTGCTAGGAGATATCTTAATAAAGGACAAGGAGGGCTTTTGTAGCCCAAGCTCTGGGTTATTAAGGAAAAATGTAACCGCATAATAACTAATATTTGCAGAGAGCATTACTAGTTACAAAGAACTTTCGCATATCTAATCTAGCTTAATCCACTCAGTGCCTACCAGAGGAAGGATGCAGTATCTGTCTCTGACAGGTGGTGAGACACAGCCAGGGAGAGACAGCAATTTGCCCAGGACCACACAGCTTGGAAGTGGCCGAGTGCAGTCCAAGAGGGGTCGGGGGTGGTGCTGCTGTCACTAGGCTCCCATCTCCCGCCATGGCCAAAGCACATCCGGGTACCCAGCCACCTGCACAGAGGACACAGCGGAGAAACCGCATGTGTCTGGAGGACTCTGAGGCTGACGGAGGGATACAAGTCCTGCCCTTGCTCCAGCAGTGTGACTTTCATCAGGTCACTAGGACTCTCTGTGTCTCACTGGAGAGCACAAGTGAGGGTGGGGTGACATGATTCCCCTCAAAGGTGTAAAGTGCCCCAGAGTGCCAGGCAAATGGCGGAAGCTCAGCTGCCTTCACTTTCTTGGGTCCTGAACAATCAACCTTTCCTACCTCCTGCCTTCTTCTCCCTGTCTAGCCTCTGACTCCTTGCATTTCCCAGAGAGGAAAGGAGGAGGAATTCTCGGCCACCTGTCTCAGGGAGTCAAGTGGCTTCTCTGATGTTCCCCTCCATGCAGGGGCCAGGACGGAGCCGCCTCCCCCTTCGTTGCACCATCAGTTATCTCACCTGCACACCTGGCAGCCCCAGGTGTCCCTTCATCCATCATTGGCCATTGTCCGGCACTGTGCCTCCATCCCCCACGGCCTCCTGCCACATGACTCCTTGTTAATAAGCCAGTTTTCTCACATCCTGAAAACTATCTGATTCTGGCCCCTTGTATCCCAAACACCATCCATCCATCAACTGCGCTGCACACGCTTGGTTAGGAAAATGGGAATGGGGGAGGGGGCAAATAATAGATAAAACTTCTCAGCTGTTATCACTGAAGAAATAGAATGGATAAATAGATCTGTCAGACATGTATCATGCCACTGGACAGCAAAGTCTATTTGTTAAAAACAGGTTAGGATGGGAGGATTTATCTCCCATTTTAAGCTGTTAATATAGAAGGGAAACATATTTTCTTTATCTCTCCCTGGGGAGGGGGGAAATCCCAAGACCATGAAGGAGGAATTTTTAACTTGATTTGATGGACTTCCCCTCACTAAGGTGCAAACGGTGAGTTCTCTGGTGAATCCGTGCAGCCTCCGGAAAGGGTGCGGGCTCAGCTGTGGTTTGATGCAGCCGGTGGGCTGCTGGACCCCCGAGTCCATAAGCTTCCCTCTCGCCTGCCAGACACGGAAGCCACTCTAGGCTTCGCCTCCACCCCCAGGTGAGGTTGAGGACGCTGGAAAGGGCAGGGAGAGCGCGAACAGAATGGCGTTCTGCAAGAATGGTCAAATGTGCTGCACTGGGTGGGGCACTGCGCTCCCGAGGTAAATAGGAGGCCCCACCTGCTCTGCCAGAGCCCCTGGGTGGGGAGACTGACCGAGGAGACGGATAAAGCACAGGAATTTGGGGGCAGAGAACCGTGTGAGCATGCAGCCCCCGGCGGGGTTGGCGCCCCGGGTGGATGGACACCCTACCCCGTGTCCTGAAGGACCCCTGACGAGCTGGGCAATGTGGGAGCCAGGGCGGGGAGGGCTTCAGGGAGCAGCATGTGCAAAAGGCCTGGAGGGCACAAGAGGCCTGGCTGTGTGGGGGCTGCACTGGAAACGGTTCTTGGGTTCTGCACGCATTGACTGGGCCCCAGGCGGAAGCCGAGGACGCCTCCGGATACTGGGGACCTAACCGTGAGCAGACCTGTTAAGGAGGGGCTCGCTGGACCCTCCGGGTTGCTAAGCAACACCACCCTGGGCTAGGGCTACTTCCCCACACTTTTAGGGGCTGCGAAGGCAGCGGAAGTACTGGCTGATTCGGACTCGGTGAGGCCACTCTTCCTAGTCATCTGTGCTGGTGGTCACGTCGTCCTCCCATGGCAGTGGCAGTGACGAAGCTAGTACCAGCCCGTTATGGTTAGGATTTCAACATAGGGATTGGGAAAGACACAAACATGCAGTCCATGGCACACACCAAGAACAAGAAACAGATCAGTAATCACAGGCAGTGGTAAATTCTGCGCAAGAAAAATAAATGACAGGAAGGGTGAGCCTCTTTCCAAAGGGCAGGCAAGGAAAGTCTTTGAACAGGTGAGGTCTGACCAGAAATTTGAATTGTGTGAGGACATGACCGGTGGGAGAGCTCATGGAGAGCTAAGCATTCTAAGCAGCGGGGAGAGTAGGTGCAAAGGTTCTGGGACAAGGTAGGTTGGACATGTGTGAGGAACAGCCAAGTGGCCTGTGTGGCAGTGTTACCAGAAAGGCCCAGTGACAAAAGCTGAGGTCCAGACTCAGCCATCCCCAGGCTGAGAGGGACCAGCACGGGTCCCCAAGGTACTGGGCAGAATACTCCCTGACCTCCAGCATGAGTTCCAGCTCTGTGATTTTGCAGGAGACATGTCACCTACACAAATTGTAATGTATTTCTCACTGGCTTGGTTTTTCCACTCTGCTAGCCACCCCATCCCCGTTGGCTGCCATCCTGTTTCCCTAGTCAGGCTGTATCCCACAGCCACTGGGCTTCCTTCTAGTCTGGGACCTACAGCATTGCTCACAGATCTCCGCTGCCAGCCTCTGCATCTTCCCATGCCTGGGACAGCATCTGAGCCCCCTCTCAGGGCCTGCACCAGAGATCACCAGCAAGTATGCTGCCAAGGGGAGTGCCATCCTCCCAGGAGGAAGTGCCCTTTTGCTGATCTGCGCCATATCCGTCCCTCTCAGCACGAACTTTTCCATCACCCATTCCTGCCACCCTCCCTCTGCCCATTTTCTCCCCCTGAAGCCACACTGTTCAGAAGACATTCGCTGAGAGTTGAACTCTTTAGATCTTCCCCTCTCAAAGAAGAAAAAAAGAAAGCTTCCCCCTACTGCCTTTCTGTTGCTAATTTACTTTTTAAAAGACACCTTATCTAGATGAAGATTAGATCTTTAAACTGTGTGTTTAGACCCACTTTCTAGAAAACCTGAGATTATAGATCTCCTGAGAGCATTTTTAGGGAGAAGATGTGGAGGGCCGGGCCCTACCTCTGTAGCTGTAGAGGCCCCATTATCCAGCGTGAGAGTGTAGGGGTCATTCTTGATCTAAACCATAGCAGCAGCGCTCTGCTGCTGGTTTTGGCTCGCACCTGATCCAGGTAGCTGCTTAAACCTGCTTTCTCCCTCAGATTGCTGTGCTGGCCTTCCATTCCTCCCCGTTGTCTGTGCATCACACGCTGTGCTTCAGATCCCTCCATGGGCAGGGGACCACCGGGAACTTGGTGTTCAGGGAAGCATGAGCTTGCAGTGCTGCTTTTCCAGTCCTGGCCTGCAGGCTCTGTGATCCTTGAGACTCGGTCTTGCTGAGACTCAGTTTCCCTCAAAACTCAACATCTCAGAGGGCAAACCTTGGGAGGCCTTGACAAGACCAGGTGAAGTAGTACAGATGGACCTCTGCATTCCTGCCCTGCTCGAACAGTGCTCCATTCCACTCCAACTGTAATGACTCCTCCTCTCTCAGGGGCTCTCAGCCTTGGCTGCTCTCGGAATTGCCCAGGGAGCTTTGAAAACTATTAACATCTGCTCCCAGTGGTTCTGATCTAAGTGGTCCAAGGTGCAGCAGCCTCCAGACACCAGGGCTTGTAGAACTCCCCAGGTGCTCCTAAAGTGAATCCAAGGCTGAAAACTACTGTTTTTAGATAAGGACTGAAAGTCCCTTGTACTGTGCCCGCTTCCCTGGGCTATTTGGCCTTTGGTCACTTTGTAGCATAAATAATAGAGTACATTATTAATAGAAGTTAATTTTAAAAGTCAAAACTGTTCTTTCAGAGAGAAGATCTAAGTTCACTTAGAAGTAAACTTCTAAGCCGTATGCTTTATAGTGCTAATAATGGTGACACTAAAAATTTAATATATAACAGGCACTCTGCTGAGCGTTTTGCATGCCTCGTTTTATTTGCTTTCACAACCTTCTCACTCTCATTTACATGTCCCCCCATACTCTTTCTCACCTTCAAACTGTCTCATGATGGATTTCTATGTGTCTGTCATGAGGCACCCCCCCCATCCTGTTTACCTAGTTGAAAAATCCTCCAAGATTTGAGTCCAGCCCATGGTGTCCATGATACACACATTTAGGGGGAAGACGAGTCTTGCTTTCACCTGCTCCTGTTTAACATTTATTTTCTGTGCCATATATTTTGGTACCAAGCCAACAATTAACTTCCTGAAGCCCTAACGTGCCCTCTGGTTGTTTCATGTACAGTCAGCCTGCAGTATCTGAGGGCTGCATGACTGCAGGCTCAACCTATTTGGGAAGGAGGTGTGGTTAGGCTGGGATTGCTGCTACTGTACTGAACACCTACAGGATTTTTTTCCTCATTTGCTAAACAAAACAGTATAGCAAGAATTAACATGGTACTGAACTGTATTTGGTGTTCTGAGAAATGGAGAGATGATTTTGACAAACACAGGAGGATATACACATACCATTTAATAAAAGAGGCTTGAACACCCCTGGATTGTGGTTTTGGTGGGGGGATCCTGGAACCTGTGGATACCGAGCAATGATGACAGAAGTCTTCTTCTTCCCCTAACAGGATTAAGAACTGGAGAAGGCAGGAGGCATCAAATTTACTCTCCCATCAGGGACACTGACCAGTACAGAGCTCATTTGTGAAATGACTCTTGAGTCCCTTCTCTTGTCCAACCAAAGATTCTACAAAGATGCAAAGCACAGTGCTGAGGACACCATGCTGGAAAAACAAACGAACGAATGAACACATGAACAGCCAAACAAATCTGATTCCTGCCCTCAATATCACCTTCTCTTGGGCAAGGACATGTCACAAATACTTACAGGCCATATGGGACTGCCTCTCTGCTGTGGTCTGAATATTTGTAGCTCACCAAATTCATACATAGAAACCCTAATCTCAAGTTGCTGGTATGAACAGGCTGGACTTCAGGAGGCAATTAGGTGACTTAAAGGAGGAGCCCCTAAAGCAGTGGTGACAAACCTCATGCCACAACCTGCTGTTTATCAGCATGGAAAGCTCTAAAAGGTTCACCATCACTGCCTCAGAGCCCTCCTGGCTCCTTCCTTTACATGAGAACACAGCAAAAAGACAACTGTGTTAAACCAGAAAGGGGCCTTCGCAGGCACTGGCTCTGCTGGCCGCTTGATCCTGGACTCCAGAACTGTGGGTAACAAATTTCAGTTTGTAAGCCACCTGATTTCTTGTTACAGGAGCCTAAATAGACTAGCACAGAAAAGAGATCCTAAGAAGTGGGGGTGCTATGATAAAAAAACCCCTAAAGCAGGGGAGCAGCTTTGGAACTGGGCAATGGGCACTGTCCTGTGAATGGACAGAGAAAACAGTCTGTGTTGATTTGCCCTTCCCCCAGTTGAAGATGCCTGCATCCACAGCACCGCCCCCTGCTGGAGCCTGAGGTGCTCAGCAGGCCTGGGTCTGCACTCTCTGTCCTGGGCACCAGGCACCTCCATTCTGGGGTGCAGGGTTGTTGCACTCTCTCTTCCTTTCCTGGGTGCCCGCTCTGCACGCAGACCAGGAGCTCCAGCAGCTCCAGCGACCATCTCCTTTGGCTCCTGCAGAGAAAATGCCAGAGAGGTTGGTGGGGAGAAGCAGAGGGCTGGGAAGGCAAGGAGGCATGACCGTCCTGCCCTGGTGCAATGGCCTGCAGTCCCTCCTTGGGGAAATGCCTCAGGGTAGCCAAGCAACACCTCTGGGCTCACTGCCTGGCACTTAATTTGAAACCATGGTTGGAGAGAGAAGAGGCCACGGGGAGCCCATCTCATGAAATTAGAACCTGCAGTTCCACAGAAGATGGATAGCAGAGGAAGGTGGGAGGTGCACTGTCCAGGAGAAAGGCATTGAACCATCGGAGGGTGGCAAGAGCCTGGTGGGGGTTCTGAGAGCGCTGTTAGCCAGATGCATCTCCAGGGTGAATCACTGGGCTTTTGTAGAAGAGTTTATAAATCCGACCCCTCAGATTCTGACAATGAAGTCTCAGAGGGTGATAGATTCTCTGCACAGTTGCAGAACTATGGACTGTCTCCAGAAAACAGCCCAGGGCTGCTGGCTCCTGCCGCTTGGTGCCTTGGGGCATCTAAGGCTGAGTTTCTGACTCTACGATGTGAGATGGGTGGACAAATCCAGTAGAATATTTCATTGTTATTTTTAACACTACTTTTCTCCTAAATGAAGTCTTTCATGGACCCTAAAGTGGAGTCAGATGATAGTAAAGCCATTCTGTTGGAAGCTAGGGTTTCTATCAGGCTTTCTCTCCTCCCCTGGGACAATCTGAGAGCACAGTCATTAGATTAGGTTATCTTCACGGGCCTTCCAGCTCTGTAATTACACTTCCTGGCAGGGCAGCCACAGAGGGGTTCTGCCCCCCACCCCATCTCTGTGACTTGGTTTACTGGGGAAACCCTTGGGATGGATGATGGGCTCCCCAGCCTTAGAGATCCTTGTCAGGCGACCTCTGTCAGACTGAGAGTTCGATGTGGTGGCCCCAGGGTCCCCTCTGCCACTTCATGCTGTGTATATGTGTGACTCAGCTTGCCTGCCACTGAGTCTGGGAGAGGAGTGACTAGGCGGCCCATACTCCCTCTCTGTCTCTTTGCTGTGTGGACCCGGATCCAGAAGTCACTGGTTCTGAGGGCTCTGGAGAGATATAATTATAATCACCAGGCTTGACTCACATCTATCTCTTTAAGCCCGGTGATCTGATAACAGTACCGGCCCACACCTCCTCCCCACTCTCCAAAACGAGAGTCACTGAAATTGCCTCAGAGGCTCTGAGGACAAATTTCCTGACACTCAGGGTGGGAAACAGTAGAGGATGGTGATGAGGAGCATGGGTCCTGGCATCCAACCCTCCTGGATGACCTCGAGCAGGTTACCTGACCTTCCTGGTGCCCCAGTTTCCTTATCTCTAAACTGAGGTGAATATTAGCGCTTATCTTGTAGGGTTCCTGGGGAAACTGCCACGTTCATGCATACATGGAGTGGCCAGAATGGCTAGCCCAGAATAGGGGTCCATTATTTCTGTTCATCCATTTGTCTTCAGTCCCTTGGGAAAGCTGCCTGGCTGAGGGGAGCTGCAACGTAATCTGTACCCTGCTGGTGAAGACAGCAGAGCCCCAGCTGCTGGAGCAAGGGCTGTCTCAGCCCAGAATGGTTTTCTTTTTCCCTTCCAATTCTCCCACCTTTCTGGCAACAAGTCTGTCTAACTCAGCGGAGGGGACTGTGTACTAATTGGCCCTTATTCTACACATCCTCCATCCTCAGGACTTGGCTTTTCTCACCCTCCTGGGTCGCCTCTCTCAGAATCCCTCCTACCAAAGAGCTCTTAGGGAACAAAACCACTTCCTTCATCTAGAAAAGGAGAGAGATTCAGACAGCGCCAACCCAGGACACATCTTTTACCAAAGAAAGAGACGACCCACACCTCTGTCGTGTCTGTATCTGGCTTTATCGTCAACACCACCTGTGAGGAATATGCTGCTGTAATCTCACTTCCCAGGGCTGACCCAGGTGCGAACTGGCAGCCCTGGAGTTCCGAGGCCTGTCTGACCCCCAAGCTCTGCCGTCCCACCTTCCGTTTGGAAGTTCTCTCCCAGTGAAGGGATGACAACCCTCTCGCATCTCATTTTAAAACCAGGTCCGCTGGGTGGAGAGCTCCCTTGAATCCTAAAGAAGTTGATATGTGTGGTTTCTTCCAATCCCAGCTGAATTAAAAGATTTTCAGCTTCACACTAACAACTTCCATCTTGCGGTCAACATTTGCTGCAGCCATCAGAGACTCAGCGGTTCTAGGGATGGAAAGACACTGAGACCGTCTACCCAGACATCCCCTGGATGAATGAATCTCTCGTGCAGCTTCCTGTCACATGGCCACCCAAACCCTTCCTCACTCCATCCTTACCACAAGGCATCTGGAAGAAAGTCCTTCCTCATCCAGCCCCAATCCCTTTGCTAGAGCTTCTCTCCATGAGTCCTAAGGACTTCATCTCTGTGGCTGCACACAAGTCACATCCCTTCCCACGTGTTGTCCGTGTGGCTCTCATTCTACCCGAGTCACCTCCATGCCCCGGGTTCCCAGTCCATCCGGGTCCTCCTCTCACGCCATGGGCTTGGATTTTCTAACTCCCCTTGATCACCCACTTGGCTTTGCCAATGTCTGATGAAGTAGAGCCGAGAGTAAAGTTCCTGGCATAGTAGAGAACAACCTTACTCTTTGCTTCTCCGAACCCTGAGCTTTGCTTCAGCAGTACCTGTATCATGGGGGTGAGTTGGTGAAAAGGAGGATTCATGTCCCTAGATTCATCTTTAAGGGAAGGAATTTTTCAGCCTTGTGCGGTTACTTTTTTTCTTTGTCACCTGGCAGTCCATGCTGCAGTGTATACACATAAAACCTTGTTTGCCTCAATGTTATTTTCCATCTACACTTCTTCCTGGTACGACTTATTGCTAGTGGGTTGAACTGCGTTCCACCAAAAGACATGATCACGTCCTAGCCCCCACTGCCTGTGAATGTAATCTGATTTGGAAATAAGATCTTTGTAGATGGGATCCTGGCTAAGCTGAGGACTGTGCCAGATTAGAGTTGTTCCGATCCTATGACCTGAGAAAACAGACAGAAAGGGAAGCCTGGCATGTGAGGAAGGAGGCAAAGGTTGGGGCATCTACAAACCGGGGGATGCCAGGGCTCAGCAGCAGTCAGCTGAGCTGGGAGTGAGGCTTGAAGCCCATTCTTCCTCTGAAGCTCCAGAGGAGCCAGCAGAGCCAAAGACCCTGGAGTCTGGACTTATCATTCCAGTCAGACAATAGAGGGCCTGATGTCAGTCAGGGAAAATGCATAAGAATCATGGCACATGACAGGGGAGGAAAAAAACTCCTAGGGTAGTGGGTGAGCAGGTCCACAAAGGAGGGCCCAGAACCTCAAAGGCCCTTTTTGCACTGGCTCCTGGGAACTGGGCCAGGCCGGAGCTGAGTAGGATATGTCGCTCTTACCCTCTTTCTCCATCCGCTCACAGGCAGGGCCCTGGCGACCTTGGCCACACTGGCACCGGCAGCTGGTGCCCTCCAAGATGGGCACTCCATTGTTGAAGCAGGGTCCACAGCGGCAGGGGTTGAATTCTATCAGGTACTGGTCCAAGGCCCGACGCAGGTTCCAGCGTTTGGTCTCTAGAGACCCCAAGTCAGTATGCAGCAGCACCTCATGGATGGGCTGCACCTGCAGGCACAGGAGAGTACAGGAGAGGCCCAGGGACCTCCCCGGGCTCCTTCCTTTCCTAGGGCCCGGGACCTGCTTGCCTGTCAGGCTCTGGCACAGGTGCCCAACCTTCTCCAGCCATCGTGGATCCTGGCCACCTGTCAGTAGACAGGCACTGAACACCCAGCTCAAAGATGACGGAAATGAGGAGATGCAGCTCTGGGTGCTCAGCGAGTGGCTCAGGAATACACAGATGTTCAGGGCAACAGCCACTCCGGAGGTGGACCTGGGCGCTCTGAACCACACCCTCCCCATCCCAGAGGCGGAAGAGCCCTCAGAAGTTGATTCGCGCCAGCTCCTCTGCTGCCTCTAGCGCTTGAGGAGCGCAGCGCACCCCCGCGTCTGGGTGTCCCAGGGAACTTTCCGGTTCTGCTTTCCACCATTGCATGAACAAAGGCAGCTGTGCTACGGCAGCTGAGCGATCCCCTGGCCGCACGAGCAGGGCTCTCTGGTGGTGGGTGGAGTCACCGGCAGCTGAGGCCACACTTCGTAGGGAGATCCTTGTTGGCAGGAGTGGGCTGGCCTGTGCCTTGCAGATATTTGGTGGCACCTCTGTCTCCTGATACCACAAAGGTCATCTGGGGGCAAAACTGCCTTGGGCGGAGAACCAGTGGGTGAAGGAGGAAGAGCATTGGATCTGGAGTCTGAAAACCTGGCTTCAAATCTTAACTCTCCTACTCCAGCTGTGTGATCCTTGCCCAGTGGCAGGCTGAGCTTCCTTCCTTTGTGGGAACAGGCACTCTCCTGGTTTAGGGTTTAGGGAGGACAAAGGGAGGTGACACGAAGGAAACGCTTGTCACACCGTGAAAGCAATAAATGACACTCGCTTCGTGGCTGTGTGGCCTAGGAGGCTTGCCTGCCCCTCTCTGAGCCCAGTCCTCTCTGTACTATACAATGGGGAGAGTAGCTACTTCCTGGAATGTGTATGAGCTGTGGAAGTAATGAGATTAACATTGTAGAGGAGAGGGAAGAGTAAAATAAAAATAAGGCACCGTTTTTACTGGTTAGGTGTGATGATAGTGAAAAAGAAAACCGACCGGACCCTGGTGGTGCTGTTCAAACTGCGCATGCACACGCTAGCCTCAGCACGCTTACCATGCTGCTACGCATCCCAAGGGATCCAAAAAACGAAAGCTTTCTCCGAGGAACCCGAGGCCCCAGGAGGGAAAGTGATTTGCCCAAGTGGCAGGAGTGAGCCACAACAGGGCAGAAGGGCACTTGTCATAGCCTTGACTGCTTCCTGGAAATGAGGACAGAAAGGTCTGTGGTGACGGACCTTGGCGTGTGGTCAGGGGCCTTGGCAGAAGTCACCAGGCAGGTGACATCTGGGCTGTTTGGGGCCCAGCCAAGGGTAGGAGGTCATTTACTGGAAGTGCAGGGAACTCTGCCCCATGGCCGGGATGTGGGTACAGGACGGCTGCCCTGTGGCCCCGGCGGCAGCTGACTCAGCTTCCCTTTCACCTTGCTGTGGGGTTCAGCACTCAGCCCCCACATCTCCCTCCCAGGACTCCTCAGGAAGTGGGAAGGAAGCACTCCCTGGGATGGGCAGGTGGGACTTCAGGGAGTGCAGAGAGGTGGAGAAGGAAGGATCTTACATGTTAGGGCTTGGGAGGCATTGGCAGTGATCTTGCCTCCATTTTATAGATGAGCACACAGACACAGCAGAGGGAAATGACTCAGCTATGGGGTGCAACTAACACATAATAATATGTAACCTAGCCACACAATGTACACCACAGAATCAGACTCAGTGCTCGCTTACACATAAACACTGTGAGCTCTGGAGACGTGTGAGGAAGACAGTTTCAGCTCTGAGTATCAGGTCCCAAATAGCTACTAACTGGTCTCTCTGCCTGTCTGTCTGTCCTGTCTTTCCTTTGATTCATCCTTCATTTCTCCAGGAGCTTTCCCCTTTTAAAGCAAGTTGCTGGCAGTATCCCTTACATACTGAACTCTGACCGTGGCTTACAGTGTCAGGTTCACACTTCTCAGGGACAGTGTGGCTTGTGAGGAGATCACTCGTGTTCCCATCAGTCTGGGGTGGCTCACCCTGGACCCTGTTATTTGCCAGCAGCGGCCTCCATGATGGACCTGTTTTCTTGATTGATATTCATGAAGCACCCATCCACCCCCTCTTTCTCTCTATCTCTCTCCTGGTGATTATGATATAACTCCACAAACTGGGGCTCCAAGGATGGAGTAACTTGTCCAAGGTCACATGTGGAAAAGGTAACTGAGCCACCATCCAAACTGTATCTTTCTTCCTCTAAACACAGAGCTTTTTTTACCCCCCCCCCAAGATATTTCCTCTCCAAGTTATGAACCTCAGACTTCCTCTTGGACATTTTGCTCAAGGCAAACACAAAGTTCACCTCTTGACCATAAAAGTTTATATATTTCTCCTGATATCAATTTTACCCCAAGATATCCTCTCCAAGTTATGAACCTCAGACTTCCTCTTGGACATTTTGCTCAAGGCAAACACAAAGTTCACCTCTTGACCATAAAAGTTTATATATTTCTCCTGATATCAATTTTACAGTTTTTGCCCGAATCACTAATAGCTTGATGATAGCAATTTTCAGACCCTGTGTGAATTACAGGTGCGTGAAAGTGGTCCCTTACTTACTGGAGAAGAAATGAAATCAAGGTTAATCTATCTGACCTTTCTCTTCATAGAAAGCAGAATGTTATAATAGACTTTTCGGCTTAACTGTGGGTATGTGTTTTTGAAGCATCTTCATACCTGTGATTTTAAATACATGCAAAATAATGGGCAAGGGTAGAGAGGAGATGGTTGGGAAACACTTACTATGTATTTCACTGGAAAAGTTGGAAACATGAACTTTTTATTTTAGTGGACTCTTCTGTTATTAAGAGAAGAGGTCTGAAAATCCAAGCACATAGGAGCTCTGTGTCCTTCACAATGATTTCCCCAGCCTCCGTTTCCTAATCTTTTCCACGGGAGAAATGTCTTTTTCTGAGAGTCTCTGTATACTGAGGGAGAGATAACTCAGAGCAGGGACAGAAAATACTGTGGTCCAAGCCCAATCTGCAGCTGGTTTTTGTCTGCCCCTGGAGCTAAAAATAGTTTTTACTTCTTTTAATTTTTTTTTTATTGGCAATACTAGAAATGGATCTCAGGGCCTTTGAGCTAAGCTAAACTTCCTGGCCCTTTATTTATGTATTTGTTTATTTGTTTTTGAGACAGGGTGAAGTCTGTAAATTGTTCAGGCTGGCCTTGAACTTGCCATCTTCCTGCCTTGGCCTCCCTGAGTTCCAGGATTACAGGCATGCACCACCACAACCAGTTTGGTTTGTACAATTTTAAAGACTTGTAAAGAAGAAGAGGAAGCATAACAATTACTGCTATGATTACTACTCCAGCTGTGCGTCCAAGACTGCAGGTGGCCCACAAAAGCCTACAATATTCACTATCAGGTCCCAGGAAAAACGTTCACCAACCTGTAACATCACAGCAGGTGTGTCTTTGAAAGTGTCGTATGTATAAATGTGAGATCTTTGTTGAATGTGGCCTAGCCCTGTAGAACTTCTGGTTCTGCCAGCATAAACCTGGGCCCCAGCGACAGAGTATATTTCAGGCCCTCTTTCCCCAGGGTGGTGTCTGAAGGGCCACCCTCCTCTTGGCAGGCACGGGCAAGACCACCAGTTCAGCGTGCCGTTACATTTAATCTTGTTCTTTGATGGGCTTGTAATCAAAACTGTAAAATGATCTGGTCTACTTCACTCGCATTCCTCATAGATGCGGGGTTTCTCCAACTGCGAAAAGACTTACCTCAAAATCGATGACAACAGGATTATACTTTAATGATCTCCCCCAGGAGCGGTACGCATTGGTGCTGCTGTTTTGTGTCAAGCCCTCAGCAACACCAGAACTGCCACCTCGCACTCGAACGATGACGTCTTCCACACCCATGGCATTCTTTGCTTCTTCTCCTATCAAGAAAATGGCTGAATTAGTTCAATTCCCCAAAAGCCAAAGGACTGGCTGGCCAGCCACGAGGCTGGGCCCAGTGTTCCCAGCCCTCCTCTGAGATGATTCCCCTACTTCTACTCTGCTCGGCTGACTAGCAGGATAAGGTGGAGGAAAGGACCAAGACTTAGAAACAGATTCATCCTCCAGAGCACAGAAGACAATGGATGGCCATTCATTCCTAGGTCAAATGTTCGTTCAGCACCTGCTACCTGCCAATAGGTCCAATCAAATATTGTAAGTGCAGTGAGGTATGTCATCATAGGGTCCCCTGAGGGCACAGGGAATGGAGGGGTCAGACATTCCCTGGGGGAAAGGGTGAATTGTACAGAAAGGCCATTGTTTGCCTAGGGAATGAAGGACCACAGAGAGGGGAAGCAAGCTGACTTACAGCCCTGAGGCCGGAGCCTAGCACAATGGATGTAACTTGACTCTCACTATGTGCTTCACCCACCACTAGAAACTCTTTCATAGTCCCTGAATCCTCTGTGTCTCACCCGGAAAAAAACACACTCACGACGTTTGATGAATAAATGAGTCTTTGATGAATACAGAGACGCCTACATTGACTTGTTCAGAAAATACCACCTAATATTCTTGTGTAATCCTTCTCTCATCATTTTTCATTGAGCTTGGATTTGGGTTTGGTAATCATATTCTCCTCTGTGAGTAAACTTGTTTCCTCCCTCCCTCTGTTACTTAACAAGCCATCAACCCGGCAGACCATTTTTCATTCCTTTCATCCCCATTCCTGCTTATCTTTGTCTAGCACTTGAAGTCTAGGAAGGTGCCCAAAATACAGTCAAGCATTTCTCAGGTGATGTCCGTGTACGTTAGATTCAAAATGGATCCACGACCTACAGGTCATGGTTTGGGGTATCAGCACCTGCGGTGCGACTACTGACTGAAATGGAATCAGCTGGGGGGCTCACTTTCTTGCCCTGATTTCATGTCCAAAGGGAAGTCTAGCTTCTGTTTGGGGGAGACGCATGGCTCAACACTTGCCCATTTTACCAGGTCCAGAGTTTTTACAAAATTCTCCTGATAGACGTCCTTCAATTTTTTTGTTATCACCAAACTCAAAGCCCAGAGCACCTCCAAGGCATTTCTTAGTATCTTCGCTGGTAACACCTGCAGTAGGGAGACAGAGAAATGCAGACTGCTGACGAAGTGGTACGAGTTGCAACGGTGCAATCAGCTCACAGCAGTAAAAGCTGACTTCAACCTTCGAGTCCTGGAGATCTGGCTTGAAGTCTCAGTTTGTTTGTTTTTTTTTACCCCAAGTCAGTTTTCTGTCTAATCCCAGCCCAAATGCTTCTTGAAATGAGAAGGGATGTGTATTGCACATACTAGTTGTTCAGAAATCCTAGTTTTCTCCTCTTTGCCCGTTCTCTCTTAACTCCCCTTGAGGCACTGATTCTAAGACATGTCTCCACAGGGTCCTAGCTCTGCATACTGCCTGACCTGTGACGGGCACCATATTGCACAGGCTGTCCATCAGTATAAATGTCTCCTTCCCTTCCTCTTCCCCATCTTTCTAAAATCTACTCAAGCTCCCATCCAAATATCAATTTCTCCGAAGAGCTATTTTGGGGTCAGAATAATCTTCCCCATCTTCAGAGATACCAGTGTTCTTTGTTTGGGCCTCAGGGATCATATTCATTGTAATTCTTTTGGGTAGGGTCCTTCTTGTACCCCAAAAGGGTGATCAGAGACCTGCTTGAAGATGGATAGATCACCATAAGAAGTTTGCCTGCTCTCATGACCCCACTACGCCCATCAGTTCCACATTAGCTAGCTCTGGATTTGTCCACATCTAAGGAACCTGCATTTCAAAGATGGAAGAAACACTGCTTAAAGCAGGAAAGCCACAGCTCTGATCCATAGCCTGGCTGTGCACAAAACTGGCAGCCGGCATAGGTCTACCTGACAAGACAGGGCCAGACGAACAGAGTGGAGCAAGACAGGACCACACTACGGAGCCCAACTCTACCCCTAGTGAATGGGGCCTTCTGAAAGTCATGAACCACGGTTTGAACTTGGAAACATCATTGCTTTTTAACTACAACTATGAAATAATTTCCAACCACAGGATTATTCTGGCACACACAAAGGAAAAAATAATTTAAGCTTGTCATTCAATTGAGCTAAGGATTAGTTTAAATTTTCAAGGGGCTGTTGAGAACCGAACTTCACTGGCCTGTATCTCCTCGTCGAACTGAAGAGCTCTGAGGCCAGGGGAGTGAATCTTACTTACTGTTGTCTCTTCTACACAGCAACACAGTCTGCTGTGGTGTAGGATTTCAATAAGTATTCAAGCTAAATGATTGATAAATGGGGAAAGAGAGGGAATAAATTATTGCTACAAACCCTTTCATAAGGGTTTTTGATGGAAGGACTCTTAGAACTTCAACTCGAGTCACTGATTCTCTCTAAGAGATTGGAAAAGAGCCATGACACTACTGGGCCTCAATTTCCCCCGTGTATGGAGAGAAGGGGTCATCCCCATTTCAGAGGCACCCTCTGTGGCTCCATGAACGTGTTTCCAAATCCCTCCCTCCTGAGCTGGCGATGCCTGGGGGAAGCGATGCCATGAGTACCAGCACTTAGCACCAAGCCATTTCCACTCAAGCACTTTTCATTTTTAATGCATAACTAATTGAGGAAGATTTAGCATATTTAATTGTTTTGATTAAAAATGCTTCAACAGTGATAAACAAAAGTGGCTGAAAAGAATTCATGGGCAGGAGCAAGAGTGATTGATTAGGTGAGTGGTGGAGAGCTGCCACGTTAAAGTCACAGGACTAGCTGATTAACGGGGGCTGAAGGACGCCTGCAGGGTAATTATGCTCCTGCAGGATCTGCCCTCGGTCCACTAAGGCTGCCAGCAGAGGAGAATTCCAGGCTGATTGGAGCTGGGAGACTTCACTGCAAAAATAGTGCCTTCTGAGGACCAGCAAACAAGGTCCCAGCCTGTAAGGGGAGGCTGCGACTCCTACGGAATCATAGCATGTGAGAGCCACAGTGCTTTCAGACACCAGGTCCACACTTCTCATTTATAGTCGAGATACTTGAGGTTCATAAAGGTTAATTATCTAGCCGAAGGCCATACAGCTGAGACTCCCATTCAGGTCTGTCTTGCTCAGAAGCCTGCAGTATTTTTGCTAATCCCAGTTATTGCATCAGACTAAAGATTTCCACTGTCAGAGAGAAAAAGTTAGGCAGTGCCTACTGGGTGCTCTCTGGTACACAGTACCAGTTGTGTTTCGGGCAGTGCAGGCGTGGTGGGAATAAACCAATGTGAACACGTGGATCTGAATAAACTAGCAGGGTTGGGGCAAGGTACCAATGAAAGATGAATATGTATCCTGAGAGCTGCTTGTTTCACTACGCCAGGGCTAGAAGAGAAAGCTCTCACCAGAAGATGCAGGAGAAGCCACAAACAGAGCTGTCTACAGCACATGGGAAACCAGGAACAACAAGCAGGCGACGGGGGCAGAGAAGATCAAACCTGTATCAAAAGCCAGGAGCTGGAAGCTTGGATTATCAAAACAGAGTTTTCAAAAACAGAGTAAGATGAAAACAGAGTAAGCGAGATGCAGAGGAAGGAGTAAACAGGTTGGAGACACCGCACAGAACTTGTGTGGCCTGTGTAGATGGACTGCACCTACAGAACCATTGCCCCACACCTGTCCCTCCGGGCTAGACTCCAAGGACTCCACTATTATCTTGGAGTGTGTGAACTTATTGAACTCTGATTGTTCCCTAACCTGACTATCCATTCAGATCAGCTGGAAGGTGATTAAAAACACAGATTCCTGGGCCCCACTTCCTTCAGTTGTGATAGATTTTGTAAAATCTGTATTTTCAACAAGAATGTCAGGTGATCCCTATGTAATGCATCTGGGACCAGACGCTGAGTGCTGTGACCCAAGGAGGACCTCTGGTGGTGTGGCTGGGGCACTGGCATCTAGAGGGTCTCCACAACAGCCTGGATATGGATACAGAAGTCAGTCTTGCCCCATCTCCACAGAAAAAGGAGCAGGAAAAGCCAAGCATAATTCGAGCAGTCAGGATCCGAAAAGCCCTCAGGAGACTGGACAGATACATAGAGCACACAAAGCAAAATGGTCCTTGCAAACTTCCAGGATCCACAGTCTTAACAGGAAGTAAGAATACAAGGCTTCCCTCAGTGAGCTTCCCTGAGCCCTTAAAAAGGGCTGTGATATGTGGCAGCATAAACAAAGGGTGAGGACATGATGCTTAGCGAAGTAAGCCAGGCCCAAAAGGACAAAGCCCACGTGATCCACTTATGAAGAACCTAATGTAGTCAAAGTCATAGAACTAAAGGGTGCTTAATGGTGGCCTGGGGCTGAAGGCCGGGAGCTGCTAATCAATAGACATAAAATCTCAATTATGCAAGATGAATGAGTTCTAGAGACCCGTGTGACATCGTCCCTATGGTTAGAGATACCACATTGCATACTTACCCGTCTGTGAAGGGAGCAGATGTCTTGTTAAGTACTCTTACAACAAGAATATACAATGAAAAAAGGCAGGGAGTGCTAAGCAAAGAGTAAGCCTAAAGGTGAAGAAATTCAACACAATTTTTGGAAATGTTTGGAGGGACTGAGGAAGTTCATCTCCTCCTTAAGAGAGGAGCTGTCTCATAAGGCAGTGAGCTCCCCATTGCCGGAGGGAACCCAGCAGAGGCTGGCTGGCTGCCTGACGGGGCACATAGAAGGGTTTAAAGAGTGATAGGGCCAGGGATCTAGCTCAGTGGTTCCACTGCCTGCCTTGCAAAGAGCAAGGATCCAAGTTCGATCCCCAGTACCAAAAAAAGAAAAAAAAAGAGTGACAAAGATCAGTGGTCTAACACTGAGATTCCGAAACTGTGACAGCACACCAGGGCACTTTGGGAATGTCTGAGGAAACTTTAATGATTTTCCTACTGTGCCCAAGGCATGCTGGACATAAAGGGGCGGGGAGGCTAAAGACAGCCAGTGAGTTTAAAGTCATGGATGGGAAGTGGGTGTGTAAACAGGCATCGGGCTGTGAGAGGACACTGACCGGGGCCCAGGCCACGAAAGGCTTCCTAGGGGGAGCTGTGCTCGAAAGGGTCAGCAAGATGGGGTGTGAATAGTCATAATCCCAAGGAAGTGTCGGATGGGGGCCTTGGGTTTTTTCCACTCTGACCTGGAGAATAGCTGCTGCTGTGCCTGTTGGGCAAGCCAGGAGACCAAAGGACCTTTTTCCGGCTGCCACATCTTTGCTTGCTTGTCTCTTGGTCCTTGAGAGGGTACAGAAAGGAGCGGCCTGCCTCTTGCCCCCTCCTTCCCTTCCTCTACAAGGCTGCTCTCCCTGTGGCTCTGAGGCAGAACCAGGCAGCTTGACTTCTAGGGTGCAGAATACAGAAAGTCTCCTGTCACCCCTCAGTTTAAAAGCATCAGGTGGAAAACAGCAGGTGTCATTCATTATTTATCTCCTTGCAACAAACAAATAGTATTCAGGTTGCTATGTTCTATCCGCTGTGTCTTCGCTATGTTGGTTTCCTCCAAAGACAGCCTAAAAGGCCAAGCAAATGAAATGGTCCATGTCTTGTGTCACACTGGGAAAGACAGTTGGTTAATCTGTTTCCTGGGCTGGCTGAGAGGCAGAGGCTGGCTCACCTGGCCCCTTTATGCCTCTATGCATCCATGAAAACTGATGGTTCTTCCCAAGGACCCAAGAATGGTGGGAGTCCCTCTGTACCTCAGCACATGTCGTTCTTCCAGTTGCAAACTCATTAGTTTCTCTGCTGAGCTCCCCACAGCCTTTTCTCACTGCCTAAGAGGCCCTGCAATACCCCTGCACCTCCCTCCAGCTTTGTACTTAATATACCTTAGTCGTGACTTTTAACTTGTCGCCCTGTTCTTAGTATGAAACCGCAGCCTCTAAGTCACCTCTTGTCTTTGCAAGGGTCAGCAGAACGAATACCTGGCAGGTGGCCAGACCCAAGAGTTCTCAGAGACTGGCTGATGCCAACCTGCTTAGACAATAGTTCTAAAATGTTTTGAGGGTCACAGATCTTCCTTTGTTGAAGTTGCAAATCACAACTTTATAAGCTTGATTAAGAGTTGTGCTTGAGCAAG